TCTCACCAGCAGTGCTGTATCAAAGAGTAAACTCACCCCGCTCGAGATTGTGTTCTTCGCTTAGAAGAAGTCTCAAGACAATAATGAAAATTGCCGAAATTGTTTTATCGCAAGTCTCACTGTCTGTTTGCTTAAGAGATTAATTAACTTATGGCTAGGGAATTTCCCAAGTTTCGATGGAAATTTTCAAAATGTGTTTGTTTCCTATTAAGCATTCAAGCTGCAAAGTACATTCTGTTTTCTGGTTGCAGTTTGTGGTCCGCCAAAGTACTCTTGGTAAATTGAAGATGAGGTTTCATGTGGAATTTTTAAACCATCTGTAAGTTTGCAATATACAACACTGGGTTTCCAAGACTTTGATTACTGATCAGAGTTGAAACTCTGAAAATAGTGTAGAATAGAAATTTTCATCTCAGAAATGGTCGCACTTGGTTTTCAATAAACATCATGAATGTTTCTTAATTTTACTTTTGACAAATAAATAGAAGATCTTATTTGATCTTGAAAGTCATTGAGAATTTTCTTATGGTCATTGTGAGATTTTCTGAAACCCCACAAATCCACGATTTTACTGCTATTTCTAATGCCATCTTCGATCTATATATTGCACAACTCGGCGCGAGAGTCAAGGAATTCCCGATGAGTCTCGTTCACAAGGGCGGAAGAGTGGGACAACCTTATCGCAATTTCCGGAAAATTCATACTGAGATTGTCTCAAAAGTCAGGCTAGAATTAATTACAATTAATATTCGTAATCAGTATAACTTTGCGATAAAATCTGCACTTTCGCACAGTTTACCTGGCAATTTTCCGATCAATCAAAATGCTAAAGCTGGCATTAGAGTGTAATTGCCCGAGCAATTGTGATCCAACCTATTACGTGTGTGTGTCGAACTCCCTTCAGGCCTCTTATTGATGCTGTACTCGGTTTTTTTCACGCCACGCGCGCGTCTGAATCTGGTGCAGAAGAAGAATATCGTGGCTCGTGGGCAAGTCGAAGAGATCGCGAGCACGCGGAAGTGTATATTTCTGCTTTCTTCACACTGACACTGTCTGATGGGAAAGTGTTGGTTTTTGCCGATCGAGGTGTGATCTGGCGATCGAAGGTGGAGGAAGTCATGCTCTTGTCGGAGCCAAGCAAATAGCGGAAAATGAAGTCAAATTATTCACCGACGAGACATGTTTGACATATTTTGCTCCTTTTGCCATCATTGAAACACAAATAGGGACCAATTATCGAATTATTTTCATCACTTGTTGCTCTCATATAGCAAGGCACGCGCGTCTCCTGGTGACTGATGGACAAGTGGGAAATAATTTCAAAACTGTCGCATGGCATCAGCTCTATAAAAGACACGCCACAGTCCTCATCAAGATTGCAGTACGCAGAAAGTGGTGCAGTGCTTGTGACATTTTCCCGCCAAATCGATCACAATGAGGATTTTCGTGGTACGATTCGGACGATGAACTTCTGACTGTGTCTGTTGCGTGAATCTCTTCTCTCCACCCCACTCTAGGCCCTGGTTCTGTTCGTGGCTGCTGGCAGTTGCACTGAGGAGAAGGACCCCAAGAAGCGTCACATCTCGGGCGGATTTGGTCTCCACGGGGGATCCGTGGGCCTCGGCATTGGCGCGAGTCTGTACAAATCCGGAGGATTCTACGGCGGAGGCGGCTATGACGGATATTCCCACGGCTTCAGTGGTGGCATAGCCAAGATCGGCTTCTCTCCGTCGGGAGGATCGTACGGTGGACTCCACGGCGCGAATTTTGGTGGCTCTTATGGTGCAGCGTATGGCTACGACAGCGGACACCACGGACACAGTCACATAGTCCAGACTGTTCCTGTTCCCGTCGATCGACCGTACCCGGTGAAAGTGATCGTGCCCCATCCAGTTCCCGTGGTGAAGCCCGTCCCGGTTCCGGTCAAGGTGCCATTTCCAGTGAAAGTAGCTATTCCGGTCAAAGTGCCTGTTCCGCATCCTGTTCACGTGCCAGTTCCTGTTCAAACTCCAGTTTATATTCAAAAGCCATCATACGTGGGATCCGGAGGGGCTTATCTGCACACCAAGGCTCTGTACGGTGGATTTGGGGGCTACAGTGGCCTCGGGGGCTTTGGCGGTCATAATGCGTATGCATCAGGAATTGGCATTGGCGGAGTCGGCATCGGTGGCCACTTTGGAGGATTCGGTTCGATAGGAGCTTATGGCGGTGGCGGGCATTTCCACAAAGACATCTACTGCGACCACAACCAAGGATGGTAGTTCGCAAGTGCCATCATTGCCAACAAAGACTAATCCTCGACTGTAAGACTATGTAGACTTTTCTACTAAAATAAAGAAACTCTCCTCTTTGGTAACTTTATTATCCGGTTTACAAGTTAAGTTATAATACAGCATTGTCTTTCTGCGGGATGTGAGGATAAAATCTATATTGTGAATTGACTGTTACACTCGCTGATATAGGTGAAAAATTGGCAGTGTCTAGAGATATACAATTTTAAGTTTCATTAAAATCTATATACATATCTTAACAGTAAAATTCTTAAATCTTTGGTGAGTAGCCTTAATTATAAATGCTTCTCCCATCTTCCATTGCTTTCCATGTGTGTACATAATAGATGTGATTGCGAGCAATTCATTACTTGAGTGGAATTAATTGAGTGTCGCGTGGGTGGATTTGCGTCGCCATTGCGTGTGGGCAATATTGGAATATTGATGAAACAATCGCGATAGATGGAATCTAATTTTGTTACTTGAAATCAATTGATGTTCTAATAACCCATATTGAAGGTGTGTGTGTGTGTTTCCACAGGAATTTGATGGCATTTGTGACACGCAGAGAATTATAATACATATAGTGCGATGTCGTTATGTTCAATTAGTTCGCCGAGTTTCCTCCAAAGTCTATTAGATGAAAGTGAGAAAAGGTGTATGATTAGGTGCACTTGCCAGCGAGTTGATGGTAATTTGATAAAATGAAAGGTAAACAGTTGTACAGTCACTCGATATGGTGCTCTGGATGGAGAGTAGCATATATACATCAATTAGGGAAGTGTGTAATTCAATTAATAATATGGAAAGTAAATGTAATTCGCATGTATGGAGGGTGTGTGTATTGACTGAATGGGATCTAAATATAGAGCTGAGGAGGTCACACAAGGCACACAGAGAAATCATTTCAGCCAAAAGTCGAATGGCAAACAAAATATGTATAACAATTGGCAAATTTCACCCTCTCGTGTTGTCTGTGTACAAATTTGCCCACATTGCCGCGGAGTGTTAAGTGCAACAATATGACACATTATTCATGATGGGAAAAAGGACAAAAAGGGATTGTGTGACAGCTCACAATAGGTCAAAATCATTTATCTCTAAATGTGAAAATTGTGTCTAATAAAAAGACAGCACCATTTATTATAGCAACAGATCCTTTCGTGATGGCCAAATCTCGTGTTCGTGTCCGAAATGAATGTTCCCACGCCTCAATGATGAAAACACCCGATGTAATGAACATGGCGCTCCCGATAATGCTGTAAAAGATGCTGAGGCGCTTGTTAACAGGCGTTCCGATCATGTGACCTATTATTCAGAAAGAGGACGAGAGGGAATCTGCGGTGAGTTTTGTGGGAGGAAATGCAGTGAGTACAGGGTGCGCCACGTAAATAGGTATTTATCAGCGGTATTTCAGCACTCTCCCTGGGATTTATGCGACGCACCTTGTATTCGGAGCAGGGCAAAAAAGGCAACTCTCCGAAGCGGCTTATTAGGTGTACAAGTTCATGTATACATTACCAGCGAAAATGGCTACGAGGACAATAATGTAGCCGCAGAACGTGCCTGTGGCCAGAAATGCCGTCACCAATTCCCCGTCATTAAAGCTGTAGTAATGCAAAACAGTGCTGGCGATGGCGAGTGACTGGAAAATTACAAATTTATCTTCATTTTTTATCTCCCCTCTTCGCAGCAGATGAACCCCCAATTTTCACACACTCGCCCCCAAAGTGCCACCCGCAGAACTCATCGGCAAATTGTATCGGGCCTTTCGATCTCCGCGCGTCAAAGCTGCGCCGCCTGATGGGTTCATATATTTATGACCTCGAGAGTTCCCCAATTAATACACTCGCTCCGCTCTGGGTTAACTTTCCACCCAGAGAAGCCCCGCCGGCAAAGAAAAACACTCCATTGTTATTTTAATCCCCGTGACTGGCACGTTTCACTGGAGCACTGTGCGGGGGTGGGGAAAGTGTGGAAAACCGTGATTCTTCACTGCATGGAATACACTCACGAGCTCCATAAATTTTATAACCGACAATCTATTGTGAGATGTGACATCTTCAATGGGATTTGGTGACATTGTGAGCGAACCACTTCGATGGCACTTGCATAAAATACCGCCACACATATGAGGAGTTAGTTACTAGACGGAAGGCACTATGATCCTCTGCCCACCATGAATACCAAGCAACTACCATCCAAGAGCCATCGCTAGAATTAAAAATACCCGCGCCTTCGTGGAAAAACAGACCTCTTGAGACACGCGTTCAATTTTGCCAGAGTCTCCCAATTATTGGGAAATCTCTGGGTAAGTTGTGATGAATTACATTTTCCCTCCAACACTGACCATCGAGAGCGGACTCAGTGACGATTTATTAGCATTCTGCGTGGCTCTTGCCCAACACATGATTGAGGATTGCAGCACTACAAACATAATTGATGTAGGATCTCATCTTTATAAATAAATGGTGTTCTTGCCCTGGAAGCACCTCTTGAGCTGCTCACAGAAACTCATCCCAAATTACTCAATATATTCCATTCATCATTAATTTATGACGCGCCCAATTACTTAATTATCCAGAAAGCCCTCATTTTGGCAAGAAGACGAATTTTGACCCAAATTAGACGAAATTTTGTTAAGTGATGAGATATTGCGTTCTCCAAACCACGTAATAAAGAAGACACACAAGAGACCAAAGAATTTATTTCGTATTGATTTTCTGAAATTTACATCAATGTATACAAAATGGTGCAGTAAGAAAAGCACAGTTTAATCACTTGGACAAACATTACAAAATTAATATCATACATTCCAGCTGCTTTTAATCCAAAATTCTTCTGCGATATTTTCAGCATCATTAAGATTTTCTTTTGATCCGCAATTCCTAATTCATACCATTTTGTGTTATACAAATCAGTGGAAATTCGCTCAGTTTTGCTATAGATAAACTGTCCAAACAAGCAAAAGAGGGAAAATTGTGCCAAAACAGTAGAGATAATTGAATAGTAAAGGAACATTATGGGTGAAGTGACAATTAGGTAAAAGTTGAGTAACAAGAATATAAGACTGGATGCAATTTGAACCAAGAATACATAATAGAAAATCTCATAAAATTCATTTAATTTAGTAATGATTTCACACTGAAGTTTTATTACAGATTTCAAGAGATCTTTAGCAAATACAACATTGGCACTATCATTAAGTTTCAAAATTTGATCACTGAGAATATTGATTGCGCCAACAAAGTAAATCCCAATAAACAATAATACGCATTCTGATGTTACAATAAAGTGAAATGAGAATGATAGAAGGACTGAGTCAATAATGCGCTGGATATAATTGAATCTCTTTGCAATAAATGGCATATTAGTGAAGAATTTATCACTCAAGTTGAAGTAGAAGATCTCCGTGATGAAAGACATTGCGATGATAATGAAGAAGATCCTGAGAACTAAACTGGAAATTTTGACTGTTTTTTCTAATTTCTCCTCAAAGATTTGAGCAATCATTTGGTTGTTGATTTTTCTGTGTAGTCCATGAAACCATTGCAGAATCCCGTCTATTTCTGTTTTATAGAATACAATAGACACTACTTTTGCACCCACTTGGCAATGACTAAATAAGAGCATTGTTGTTATAGCAAATTTCGTTATGTCTCCGTCATTTGTGACTATTCTAGTTGCTGCAATCAAGAAACTGATCAACTCTATACTACCAGGAATGATAAAAGGGTATTTCAACTTTTCACGATCAATAATAGTACACTTTTCGATGGATTTATTGAGAATTTCTGCGATTTTCTTAAATTCCGAATAACACTTGATGAAATCCATAAAATCCATTGTGGTGCCAAACACGTCTGCTATAGTAAGAATGTTCAATTGAACTAACTTCTTTTCTCTAAAAAGTTCATTTCACATTTTTATAGGACAACCCACAACCTGTTAATTTATTTAAAGCAGAAGTATTGAAACTCTTCACGTGCCATTTATTATTAAGTTAATTCTGTTACTCTAGATTTTTATTGCGTTTAAAGTAGAATTTTATGTGTACATGGTGTACATATTAAATATGCGCCTATTCTCTTAAGATTATCACAGCAACAAAATCGAGTTTTTATAGCCGACAGCCATATAATGTAAAATCTGTATATTCTTCCTGACCTGCGAAGACTCTGGGTGTATAATTTTTCAGGGAAGCCCAAATCTCTCGGAAGTTTTGACAGTTTCTCCAGAAATGTACATACCTCCCCAAAGAGACTTTTATCCTCCTAACCTATCCCAACGCAACAAGAGTTTTCTCTCTATCTTGTTATTGTCTTCACATCTCATGCCCCGCAAGTGAAATGTTGACAGGAATATTTAACATACCGACCATCCCTTCTCCACTTTTGATCAACCCAGTCACGAGTGAATTGAATTTTGCGAGATAACTTCTTTTCGGAAGGGCCACTTTGCACCCCCCTAATTAGATTGCGACAGTGTGTTGTGGACTTGGCGAGGGATGAATGAATAAATTCCACGCACAGATCGCCTCGATTCCGCACTAATCCAACCCGGATTAGCGGGAAATGAATGGTGAGTGGCTTCAATTGGCAAATACAGCAAATTAAAATAGAAATGGGTCTTCGTCTCCTCGTTCATTGATATTCACGGCGTCAGCCGTTGGTGGGCTGGGTGGCACGCCGCGCTGGAGGGAAAACAATGTGCCGGGCCAACGCGGTGAGCGTCTTCGCACGCCACTTTATTGCATATCAATTGAACGCGTCGCGGTTAATATTAAATTAGTAGGGGATTCATAAGTAAAAGTCGCGCGGCGGCGTCGCGCTCGGCGTGGGTGTTTAAATGAAGTTTAGAAGAGTCAGGTATAGGCGCACTGCGAGGTGATATATGGCATTTAATTTCTGCGAATGTATTGTGGAAGTGGGGGGCGACGCGAGTGGCGGGCGGGCGGAGGTGGGGAGCTGGTGTACTCGGCGGAATAGCTGTGTGCGCGCGCAATGACTGCAGCTGATGTTGCTGGAGATGGAGCACCGAGACAGAGATCGATACTGGTGGCGAGGCTGGGGCTGGCAGGGCGGCTGGAGCAGGAGCACCGCTGCTCCCTTTGAGCGTCCGTGTGCCTTTTCCTCCCGCCAGGACCCACGCACACAGTCGCAGACGGTTGTTGGGGGGAAAAGTGCGGAGGAGACTTTTCAATTTTTCCCTCTTGCATCGCTCTCGAGGCACTCAGTTCAGTTCTCTACGTTATCTAGTTCGTGTATGGTCGTCACGCTGTTTAATATATAGTTTGTGTGTTTTGTCAAGGACAGAGAGAAGGAACTCACCTGCCCCGGAAGGAATTTTCACACTTGCGGAAATCTGCCGGAACACGCGAAAATCACCAAAACTCCCCCCAAAAAATCACCTTCCATCTCTTCAGCTCGCGCGAATGCGGTCTTTCGCAGCGCCGCAAGTCTTTCCGGGAAGAACTAAAGCAGAGCCAGAGAGAGAGAGAAAAAAGTCCCTCTATGAAGCCACTTTGTTGAACGTGAAGCAGCGATAGAAAAAAAAAATCAAACAATTGTGATGGTTTCTCGTCGTCATGATGAGGGCATAGTGCCATTTTCCACATTCCACTTTGCATCAAACAATACATTAGAATTGTGATATTATATCGATATAGGAGATTACAATACTGGACAGTGTGCCATTGTCACTCTCTGCGAGATAAACAAAGAAGAATTGAGGAGGGAAGGAGAAATTGTTGAATCTGCAGCCCTTACGAGAGCCCACAAGAGAATGCAATCAGAATTGGCAGACAATTAGTGAAATTGATAGGCGAGGGTAGAATTGAGGCGTTCTCGTCCTTTACAACCGCAACCGCGCATTTCCACTTTACGACAATGGATCACTTGCAAGAGTCCCGTGGATGCCACGAGTGCCATCGTTAGAAATTGACAGTTTGGCGGAAATTGTGAGAATGGACAGAGTACAGTTTGGATAACATAGCCGGTAAAATTGCGTGAGAATAGACACGATAACACGAGATGCTCTCGTATCAATAAAATCAACCCATCAAAAGTGAATGTGTCCCACTGTTTCTCCCCACTGTCCAATTTATTATCCCTCTTTCGGCCCCTAACAGCACACAGGGAGCGAATGCTAGAGTCACGGTGTGCCATTCAAAGGGAAATGTGCATAATATTTCACTATGGAACTCTTCCCGCAGTTCAGCATGCATTGTGTACACCTCACACGATCTATCGTCGCTCCCTTGTGCGCCAAGGGAGACTGAGATTTTTGGGAATGTAAGAAGAGGCGACCTTTATTGGGAACTTTTCAATCTTAAGCAAATTGCCAGGAGCTTTTTGATATCTTTCCACACACACCCACCCCTGAGTAAACAGTTTTACGCACACATACACACACCCGAAAGAGATGATTCTAATTTTGACTGCCTGAGGTTAGTTATTTCTCTTCCCGTCTATTTTCTTCTCATTCACTACCACCATACATAACACCCTCGCCCATCCGAAGGAGGCCCTATATAGACAAACTTCCATTAGGATTTACAAGTATTCCGCTCGCAACCCACAAAAAGCACACACTCTATCCGTCTCCGGCCTCTGTGGCCCCCCTTGGAAAAAGTGGAGAAAAAGTGGGTGGGTGTGGGTGGAAGAAGAATATGAAACCGGATGCGGAAATTTCATCAAATTAAATGAGTTTCGTCTCTTTTTACATGTTTATCGAATTTTGCCTTGTTTCCATTTCTCTAATTATTCCCCTCCGACACACTTCTAACTGGATACAATAAACCACTTGTTAGGATAACAATTCACGATTAAATTGTATGAAATAAATACCCATGCCTCCCTTAAGGGGCGCCCCTAAAACAGGGCAAAGGAAGGGCGAGCAGATAAATTAGCCATTTAAATACAATACCGTATTAAATTCAATTGAATTAGCCTGACTCTGTGTCCATTGAATTTTAATAGAGAGCGAGAGTATTTGGCTTAAATAAGAGATTGGCTAAAGGGACGAAGGACCCATGAGACGAGGAGACACCAAATAAGCATGATAAATGAGACACCTAATGAACTGATAATGAGAATTTTCTTAAAAAAGAAGACTAAACACCATGTTCAAATGTATGTAAATAATGTATAATTTAATATAAAAAAAGAAAAAAAATACCCATACTAACAATTAGCGCTATAAAATAACACTAAAAGGTCGTTAATCACCGCATAAAAGCATTATTTAAAAAAAAGGAAGAAATATTGTGATGAAGCCAGTGTTGTGCATTTAAAAACACGAGCGATGATGCCACAGTTAAATCAACCACCAACACTAAATAAACTCTAGGCATTATAAAATCAACTCACGAACTCAGAAAAAAACACACTGGAGGATTTCTATGTCTAAATAATTTATTTATCGTTTGTACTTTGTATATAAAACAAATTTGTGTGTTGTCTTGAGTAGATAAAGTCGCCAATACAATGTATTCATTCTTGTTCAAGTTGATGCCATCAATGATGCAGCACTATTTTTGGCAAGTGTTCTTACCCATGCCAACTGCATCCCTCGTAGCCCTGGGACTGCTCTTCTCCCTGCCGACAGGTAAGTTTTATATCAACCATAAAATCTTTTCACTCACCATTACACTCAATGAAATTGTGCAATGCTTTAATGTTGAATGGCTCCGTACTTCCGGTAGGAAGTTAGTCTCAATTCTGCCGGTTTTCTTGTCCCCTTTTCTTTGACAATTCGAGAAAGCCCGAAATTCTGCCAAGTTTCTTGTTCTAGATATCAGAACTAAGCTCTACACACTTGAGAAATCGCATAATATTCAAGGGTAAGACACCCCTTGTCACATATTGCTGACCACAGTTTGTGTGCGGAAAAAGAGTTGATTTTTCGTGGCTGAAGTGCGGCCTTAAAAAGTGTGGCGGCATTTTTGATATTGCGAAACCGATCCTCATGAATTTTATTTGGGAAAGAGAATGTAATCAGAGCCAGATGGTGATTTTCATCTCTCTTTTTGTTATCATACCGCACACATATCCTCTCCCACAAATGACAAAAAGTATAACCTTCTCGCGGAATTTCCCAAGGCATTTTTTAAAGGACAATCATATTGGTGGAAGCCTAAAGAAAATTGCTCCATTGTGAACAGCCCACGGCGGTGAAATGCGAAATCTCGGTGATGGCGACGAGGGAGACCGACATAAAACTAAAAGCTTATATTGTTCAACAATATCACGAGACACATATCGCAAACTCGGGTATTTTGTGGGGTGGAACACACACTAATATTGAAGGCGACTTTGGGGGAGGCGCACAGTCATCCCGTCGTCTTGAAATGGGATGGGATTAAAAATTAATGTCTTGCTTGCACATCTCCAGGCATTTAATAAATATTTCAACGTCCACATCTATCATCATCAAATTGCATTCATGATATTCAGACGGTGAAACGTGAGGCCACCTTTTCAAGCGCTCTCACATAGCGAAGGAGCTCTTATTGAAAGTTTAGAATCTTGAGGCGATATTTGAGAGCACAGCCACATAGTTTCTGTGCTGAGATTCTTCACAAGTATTCCTCTTGCTCCCATTATACATTATGCATAGCATTCGCCAATGAAAATGTTTATCCACCAGTCTTATCACTTTCATGATACACCCAAGCAGTTGGGCAGGAATTCGCAGAAACTTCCAAAGCTCCAAGAATATCTGCTTCAATACATTCTTCCCTATATTGAATTTTCTCCTGCCAATGTATTTGCATTTCCCGATTTATTCCTTGACCTGTTCAGAGTTAAAAAGTTGCCGTGAATCAGTATGAATAACAAGATATAGAGAGGAATTCGAAATACCATCATTATCACTGGGAGTCTGCTGGAAACTGAGAATAAATGTTCAATACCGATTGCATTATTTAGAGGATATTCTCCCCCTTTAGCGATGTTCCTTCGTATTGCAAATGCAATTACGTGAAGTTGTAAAGTTTCCCGTGTGAATGCCGAAAACTCTGGAGAAAGCACGTCTTTAGTCGAGAGAAAAATATGACCAAACGTGAACAATCGACAGGATCAGTGATACATATATCCTGATACATGTTTCCAATATTGTACTTGGAATTTGAAACTCATCAGTCTATATATTGAATGCAGAGTAAACTTTCCTTGGGGTATTTCACACACGATGAAGTGACAACACAGTGAGTTTCATAACTATAATTTTTGCTGTGTGGAGAATTTATGAGGAAAAAGTTTCTGCGATTTTTGCTGCAGTGTTCGATTGTCCAGAAGAGGCATTTGAAGTAAATCAGCAGCAGATTCTTAGCCTCCACGAGGGCCAATTGAGAATTTTTGCCGCGGAAGGAATTGTTGAAAGCCGAAGGGGGTGCGCCATGTCACACGCAGAAGCCTTGTATTTCAGGCTCTTGGGCGATAAGGAGAGGTTTTTAAATGAGATGGGGAAGTATTTTAGTTGCACTAGTTTCACTTTCCGGGGCCCGATGGCGGTTCATGCTCACCAAATCGATCGGCTTCGTTTACTTTATTGTGCAATGCCCCCACATGGTTGGGCGCTTAAGCACATAACAGGCCAAAGGGGGGTAATTTAAATCCCTTTTTCGCTCTAGCTTTTGGTGGAACTGAATTGCGAATGTGTGTGTGTGGGAGATAAAAGAAAATGGAGCGTTAGGGGGACTCTAAGAGAATAGTTTTATTCCTCAATGTCGTTAGATAAGAAAGTGGTGAGAAAAGAAGTTGAAAGACTTCTCTCCTTCAGGCTATAAGAGTCTTAATGGATACTAACACCTCCAATGACCTGGAAGAACTTCCGTGAGCCGATGAGGAGGAAAAAATCTGAAATATCACCAGAGACATTATGGCACCGTGCGAAAGGGTGTGCTTTATAATTAGGTTTAGCGTTGTCTGAAAGTCACCAATTTTGACAACATTAACGCCAGTTAAGAGTCGCCCAATGGGTTCATCTGGCCTCCTCTCCAAACACCCATCAAATCCGATAAAATGTCACGCTCTTAAAGGTGATGCTCTGCGCCCCGAAAATGTTGCACTGCCGCCCCCTTTTTTTCGGTGTGCGGCATGGCAAAAGGTCAGCCCCCTCGATTCCTCGGGAAAAATTCACCCCATAAAACCGAAGGGGCTGTAGTTGGCAATTTGTGTCACTCGGATGCCCCCAGTCTTTTCGTGAGATGAGCGCGACGAGATGGGTCAAAGGAGGGACGAGTGGCATGTAAAAAGGAAGGCATTTATCTATAAATTAAATGACAGCATTACATACAATATTATACTACTGCGACATGTCTGGAGAGCTTTTGTATTTTCTTGCAATCCAGAGCACGGAAAGTTTGGCAAAAGGATGCACATGCGCCCCAAATCAAATTGCTCTCGCAGGAGTTACTTTTGTGTAAATGCAGGCATTAGGCTCTGACATTTTCTCCGGCTCTGCCGCACTTAAATTTCATTCAAATGAGCATTCCCGCTCGTGTTCCCGCAACACCAGACCAACCATCTCTCTTTTTTTCATCTCTCTCACCAATATAAATTCCTTCAGCATTTTCCCGTCTGCTTCTCATCCCCCAATTCTCTTTTATGCAAATTCTGCAACTTTGTGTGTCATCCCTGGACATGGGAAACCAAGCAAGAACAAACCCAGTGAAGAGAGATATTGATTAAAAATTTCTCCCTTCGAAAATTGCATAAAATATTCAGTGCGAGGGAAAGTTGAAAAGAGCGAGAGAGAGAGAGAGAGAGATGGGATTCTTCACAAAGAGTGCAAGAATTTTCATAGTGATCTCTTTTTTCGGATAAACTTTTACTCTCACTGCAAATTGTGATTTTCCGGGAAAAAGTATCATTTTGCTGGAGATTTCCATTAATCAGAGAAAGAGAGGGAATGAGAAAAAGTTATTCCACCCCCAGAATCGCTGTTGCTTGCGCAAAATGATTATGTGACAAGTATTAATAATAATTCTAGGAAAATAATAAGGACAGACTATCTGGACAAATCGTGTGAATTCCTTCAGAAAAAAAACTCCACTTTAAATTCAAATGACGAGATAAGCAACTGCGTGCTCTCTTTTCATAAAACATTAATACTCCCATTTTAATTGACTATGTAATGTGGCATTACAGCATTTCCCTTCTTGACACGATAATTTTTCCTCCACCAAAGCGGATTCGTGGAATGAAAATGATAAAATATTTTCCCGTGAATTGCCACGGGGAACAAGGAGTGTAACTTAAAATCTACCCCCGGTGTGCGAAAGGAAGGGCACATGTCTTATTATAATAATGAAAATTCTAGGGGTGAAAATTCAGCAGCACTGGAGTTTCACTGTAATTTTCTAAACAAATGTCTGCAAAAGTAAATGCAGTGGAAAATTTTGGCACTCACATTGTGTACTCACGTACAACTTTCCAAAGAATTTAATTACATTCTCCCAGTGAATATATGTTACCAAGAAACTTAGTGCGGGGTTCTTTTTCATACCCACCAAGAAGTTTTTCTTCCTTCTACCCTCTATTCTAATTTACTGGTTGGGCTTTTTGCCTCACTTCCTCCTTTTCGCCCAGGATACAATTTTCTTCTTTGGGCTATATGGCGAAGATCTGGCATGAAAAGAGGTCGACAAAGTGACACTGAAGTGATCATAAAATAGTGAACACCATGAAATATTCCTTTGCGGGGGATTTTCTCTGACAAGTAAAAACTTTCTCCTACCCGTCGATTAATAAAGAGGATTAGGCAAGTAGAAAGAGGAAAAATCTGAGGCTTTTCTGGCACAGGAAGAGCGTTAAGTCATGCAATTTATCTCGTTCTTCCGTTTGTCGCCTGCGACGACGGACTCACTTTTTAATCTCCTTAAGCTTGCGCCATCAAAATTGAAAATCACATGAGAATATTACACTTTCACCACCACTGGGTGACAACCTCAAGTCAGTCTTATTAAATTACGTGATTTTTCATAAACTTATAATCTCTTACGCTGAGAATTTAATGAGTCGCAACAAAGTTGAGGTAATGAGCTGTTATCACCGAATTGCCACCTTAATGGAATGATGGAAGACACATTGGGTTGCGCCAACACTGTGGAATGGGCACTTTGAAGGTTGAAATTGTGGGTATTCTTTTCCAGATTGCCAGAATTGTCATTCAGTTGTGAGTGATGAACTTGTGCGCCGTCATAGTGTCAAATATGTGTCAGGAGAGAATTCAGCAAAACGAGTTTGAGAATCGCTGAGGAAGACTCGTTTTTTTAGTGATACTGCGAGCCAATTCCCATTCAGGCGGAATGTTCCAGAAATGGATAAAAATTCTTTTATATACACCGAATTAAAGTGGAAATTCTAATTTGATTATGAATTATATCCTTTCCTCCTGCTGAAATCTCTTGTGCATTCGTGCCACCCACCACATTCACCGCCTTATTTTTTAGGCATTGTTTCAAGGAAAACTCCGCCAATGGTTTGGCACACATTCAACATTTCAATCCGAATTTACATTTCCAGCGTTCGGGTGGAGATGTAACAATAATTTAAGAGAATGTAAGGGTGTGTATGATTAAACTTTTAATGGAAATGTCGATTGGGTGAAAAAAGACGGAAAGTCGGGCTATGACGCGAAGGATGTGCCAAATTGCTAAATTATTCGGTGTGGCATTAAAAATTTACATTATGCTGTGAGTGAATGGAGGGATGAGTGGTCGGGTGAGAAAGGTATAGCGCACATATCGGGTGAAGACATGTGAAAAGCTTCCGCAAAAAGTGCCACTAACAGCTCTTCTAAATACATTTTCAAGTACATAAAGTTCTGCTGGTGGAAAAGCCTTCACACACACACGAGTTAGATTTTCTCGCCTACCGATGACAATTTATGAGTTGGTGCAGTTCTCATAATTTATTCATCTCGAAAAATCATCCTGCGGTCTTTGATATAAATTTTCACTCAATCACTTTTCGCACTTGTCCAAAGATGAGGCAATAAAAAGTCAGACGCGAGGGGAATTTTTCAGTCTCCCCAGAGTGTATGGAGTCGAGATGTGAGACCTCTTCCTTTTGGACACTGCCAGAGATCGAACATCATACAATGTGTTATTTATTGGTGACATGGCAAATTCCTACACTGCCTCATTCATCTTTTCCCACCCCATCAACCCCCAAAATCCCCACTGTCTCCATTGCCAGGATATTTGCGCAAAATCTCTGTTTTGTCAAGAAACTCTATGGCTGTGTGAATTACATTTTCTCCCATCCCGCAAGTATATATTTTCAACAAGTCTTTTTTGTGTTGCTCTCAATTTTTTTTTCTGTTCCGCCCGCACCTCCCAAAAAAACACTGTACACGATCCCGAACTTCTTGCCTGGCTGCAAAGGCGCAATCACAATGAGCCGATATGGTGCTGAAGGCAGATTCATCAAATTGAAAAGTGTGGAGGAAAAGTAAATTCCACGCTGTGGCATTTGAAGTGAAAACTTTCCTCCTTAAGCGCCTTTCACACTTCCACTCTTGGGAATGTAAACATCTCACCTTCCCAAGAGGGAAGTCAGTGCATATAAGTTGAAGCTGCATTTATCAAGTGGCTGCGAGGTGGGAAATTTCATGAAAAATTCAGAGATCCTGAAGGATATTAGAATCCTTGAACTAAATTCAAGTGAATCGTGACTGAGATTCTGGCGGTCGCTGCTTCACATACAGTGTGAACTGCAACATATCACAAATGCGGGTTAGTCTTCGAGACTTTTGGCAACTGAATGCACTTTATTGAGGGCTTTGAATTGATATATGCCAGAAAACAGCCACCCACAGACACAGAAACAAAAAGATGAACATCAAATGTGTTGTAGCGACTGAATTTCATCCCTCTTTCAGGCTAATTTCCATTCTCAGGCCCTGCGTGCGATCTTTAGCATGTTTCCCAAATAAATAAAGCAACTCTTTTGAAATATAAAAATACTCGTTTTCCACCGTGAAGTGCCATGAAAGTTTCATGCGATTCTCATCCAAATGCCTGATACACAATCCCGGAATCCAGAGATTGGATGCTATTGAAATATTCACCCTTCATTATCATTCATCGCGTCGAAGAGCTTTTCAGGAGCTTTTTCTCCATCTGAACGTGTGAATCTGCCTTTTGACTCCTGGCGCACTTCATGAGCTAGCAAAAAGGGAGGGAAACGAAAATGTTCTCTCCTTGTCAATATTGGAATGGTTGGAGTCAAAAAAAAGTTAATAAAATTCCAATTTCCATCAATAACTCGAGGAGAAATACATTGTATTAACCTTATGTCTCACAAATGGCACAATCACGTAATTCAGGAGCATTCGGAAGAACGTGGCGAACGATGAACGTGACAGTGGAGAAAACAAATTATTCGGATATAAACTCTCCGACATATTTTACGTGGGGAAGGGGCGCGCCAGAAAAAGATGGGGTTTCGGGGTGGATGAAAAAAGGTCTGTTGAAGCGCTGTGGAACATGTGAAAATTCCATTAGCCATGAGAAGATAAGAGGTGTGCATTTGAGTAGGCGAGACATTTTCACTTGCAAGGTTCGCATTTTAAATTCTTGGCTGGGATTTAGGAATGCTATTCTGCATACACACAAATTCACGTCCACTCTCTGTGTTTTGCAGTGATTGCCGGTCCGCATGAGAAGCGTCTTCTTCACGTGCTCCTGGACAATTACAATGTGCTGGAGCGACCTGTCGTCAACGAATCCGACCCGCTGCAGCTGAGCTTTGGGTTGACGCTAATGCAAATTATCGATGTGGTGAGTCCATTACACCCTGTCACTCAATTATTGCGCGAACATAAGTGGAATTTGGCTAATGACCTGGCGCATAATAGCGCGAGGTGTGGCCACTTTTCCGCTTAAAATGATTCCTGTGTATTTTTGGGGTTTTGTCACTCACCGAAAATGTTATTATTATATCTTACATTAGCTCATTAACAGAAAACCCTCTTTTTTGTGCGCACAGCCTCCGCAGCCACCGAGTAAATTTGGTGGGTTTTTAATTACAAACACGCTCCATCTCGGGAACTCACTGTTTGTGGCATTAGTCTAATTGAATACGCCGCTTTATTGCTAATCCATATCCCCGAGCACAATGCCAAGCTTTTACACTGCAAACAGACGGCCGGAATGGGAGATCTTGTCGGTGCTGTGATCTTCCCTGCAATCCGCTCAAGCAGAACATTCACTCAGTGTGTGAACGTCAGTGCACTTGAAACATATCCGCGATGATTTGTAATCTGCTCTTTTAGCTGGCGAAAAATTCAACACTTATTCTTTACGTGAAAATGTGTAAGGATGTTTTTTTTTTGCCTTCAACGTAAATGTATCATTCCACGAGACGGTTTTTTATCGTCGTCCTCCTGGATTTCTTTCTCACCCTCGACAGTGATAAAAATGTGCTGCACACGTCCAATGAAAATACCTGAGAGTGGAATATGGCACTCAAAGTTTTCAACAGCTCACTGAAATGTAGCATGTCATAGCGAAAAGGACTTTACAACAGACTTAAACTCTAATCACTGTCGGCGTGCTTGACAATCACTGTTAGCTTACCGGGCCCAATTGAGACGGTCGAAATCAATTTGCCGCGAAGTCGGGCACAAACAACAAGATGGATTTATCGCAGGGTAAATCCACTTTGTAGGGATTTTGACTGTTATTGAGTTTGAGAATCACCCCCACCAGGAAGAGGGATTCCGCCAACTCTGCCAAAATATTCCATCGTATCGATTTCTCTCCTGCGAGTTCCAACTGTCAGTTGTCGCGTAATTGTGTTTAACCTTTAAAAGTACCGAGAGTCGAGCACACAATTAGCGGGCGATAAGCGCTTCGTACTGAGTCAGCTTTTTGGGCTAATGAACTTTTTTTTATGGGAGTCAATTGAAGGAGAAAAACAGTGGTGGCGAGTAAAGTTTCCCAGCGCCTCCACCATGTTAATGCGCTGGGCGTTACAAGATGCAAGATTGTTTTCGACTTTATGGTCCTCTTCCTCTTTGCCTTTCCACGCGTTTTTCTTATCTCTGAGGGATGTTAAAGTGGCAAATTATATCCTAAAGTTAAAAGGATTTTTTTTTCTCTCGATTTTCTGGGGTTGCTTTTAATTTCAAAGTCAAATTGAAATCTTAGCAAACAGGCGCTGTCACTACATATATTGCGTGAATTGAATTGCTAAAGTGGTTCGTTTATGATGGAGAAATACGGTAACGATGTAGATTCAATATTTGGAGGAATTATGAATTACTATTTCAGTGAGCCAACAAAGTATTTGCTCTAGAAGACTACAGGGCAAATACTGGGTAATCTTCGAGTTCCTCCATCAAAGTCCTGGGCAAATGAGAAAACCAATTGCATGAAAGCCAGTGAATATGTCAGTGTCTGCAATGTGGATCCAAAGACGCCCTGACAGAGTGGCTGTCTGTTTAATTTTCCGCTGATTTATTATTCCACTTCATGGACGAAAAGACCAACTTTTATCACAGCCATACTATAAGAAAAGGCACACATATATAGTTTTTGGGGAGCGCACACTCATGTGAATAGGGAAAGGGGCCCATAATCGAGACTCCCAGAGGAATATTAATGAAGAGGCATTGGAGTGTGTCTTTTTGCTGCGCACACTTCGTATCTGTCTTGTGGACTTAAAATACTCCCGATGGTGCGGGATGAGCGATGTGGCGTGCCATAAAAAGGATATAGGAAATTATGCACAGTATTATGTGTAATTCAATTTAACCGTTTCGGCCAACGTGACATTTTCCGCGTGTGTGTGTGAGATTGTCCAATTTTTGATTTATTTCAAATGGACTTTTCCTAGAGAATGAACTCTTCCGTGAAATAGAGGCAATTCTGGTAATTTTATAGATTTTATGCTGGCGCGTTTTTGCTCACTTTTAAAGGCAATCTTTGAGCACTTTGACGTTCCTCTTATCTCAAAGGGAACACTTTGTGTCATATCCTCAAACTGTGAACGGAATCATAGCGCAAAACAATTGTAATGGTACGTTTTATACCCAGATTGCGATATAAAATCTCCTTTTACAGCATGCAATAACTCTCAAATGCTTGTTTTAGGCCATCACAGAGCAAATTGGCCAGCATTAGAGGTCACCCAGGGGGTGAGATGGGGGCTGGATATTACAATAAATTCATGTGATAACATGCTAAATGGGAAAATCAATGACAACTTTTCCAACTATTTGAGCATCAAACTCAGGGGCAATATCCACTGATAATGGCTGTGTAATTCATCATGAAAATACCCCGTCTTGTCAAATACAGTCACACGAGAGGCATTTTAGCCATATGAGAAATATATATTGTGAATTTTGAGGTAAATGTGCGGCGGAGTGCGAGTATATGTATCGGCAAAGGTGGCGGAGTGAAATGGATGTTTTAAAAGTTGTCGTGAAAAGTTTCCTGACACAGGTGGCAGTTTTTCCTTCGTCATTTTGTGCGTAAAAATGCCCATAAAATAGCATCGCTATCGCTTTTCATACATCTCTCATGCCACCATATATGGCATGGCATATGAAGAGACCCACTTCAATGCATAAGGACAAAATCGATACTGTGCTTATTCTATGAACGACTGTAAAGTATCACCCCTAGTTTTTCATCACGAAAAAAGACTCGCCCTCGGAAGCATCCTTTCCATATGCCAGCCAATCTTGGGTGTTGTGTTTCAAGCCCAAAAAAGGGAAATACCTTCGGGAATAAATACATCCACTCCCACCACTCAAATACCTCCAATATCCTCATCGTGTCGGACCAAAAAGGTACATAGGGCCAAAGGTGCGTAGTAAAATTCATCCCATGAGCTTTTTTCGACCCCGACCACTGCCTTTAAGAACGCTCGACTTGAGACGCTTCTCACATTGGCTCCCGTGGAAAAGTTTTGTCCATATTTTCACTCAATGAATTAACCTCTGAAATTTACCATCTCATTCAATCTCTCCTTCTCCCCTCCTTTTTTTGCAGGATGAAAAGAATCAACTTCTTATCACCAATATATGGCTCAAATTGGTAAGTTAGCATATAAATTTTGTCACACACACTGGCATAAAAAAATCAATTTCTTCCTTATAAGATCTTCTCTCACTCAAACCAGAAACGACTTTTTATACATAATTCTCTTATCATCCTTCCACTTCTCTTATTGCCTGTGATTTCAACCTCCAAGTCTCCTCAAGACAACACAAAGATAATGCTTCTCTTTATCCACAAGACACAAAGTTCTTAGTCAAACTTTCCCATTGAGCATACACACACATACACAAGTTGATTAACCGTATTAACATGTGAAGTTTGTGGGACCATCTGTTGAAACCTTGGCTTAAACTTGGGACAAAAGTATCAAATTTCTCTTGGAGATTATGAATATTAGCGGAGAGATGCAAAACCGCACTCTGATTCGCCCTACAGCATCTCTCCTCATACTGGAATTTCACGCGACATTGCAAATTGGAGTGTATGAGCTTTTGAACTTGTGTGGTGAATAGCATCAATGAGCATACAAGATCGCTTCAATTTCAATTGGTCATGTATTTTACGCTGCAATCTACTGAGAAACTTTACTAATCATCATTCCAAGAGAATCGCAAATGTCCCACTTTTTTCCACTCTCAATTGCGGATTATGACAGAAAAAGCTCAAATTTCTTTAAATGAAAACTCTCTGGGAAAGTGTAATGAAATATATTCTCATAATTATTAAATTTCATTAAAACTAACACGGAGAGTAATTGAAATTGCCAAGAATGTGTTCCTATATAGGGTGGTGTGTTTTGTGGCGTGAAACTTTGTAATGTTGTCTTGTGGAAATTTGCAAGAGAAGAAGAACGTTGAATTCTTCCTCCCACCTCTGACATGAAATTATACATGCAAAAATAACCGAGTTTGCAAGAAACTTTAAAGTCCTGGTAAACACAATATTTTGACAGATGATTTACTGCATATTGCCGGAGTGATAATGAAATGGATGAAATTGTCAGATGATGCATGAAAATTGGTGTGTGCATTTTTATTTGGTGAACCAAATTTTAAATGGTCTGTGTTTATCAAATAGTATTATGTTTTTGACAAATTGTTTTAATTTTAAATCACTCACCACTGCACCGTGAAATCTCTCTGTGCCCTTCTCCCCACCCCCGCAGAATCGCCCCGCCCCTCTCTCATCCACGCCCGCAGCGCCACAATCGTGTTGATTTTTATGGCACGAGACTGCAACGGATGGAGAGGGTGAATGGTTGGGGTGAAAAAAGGAACAGCATTGGAAATGAATGTATTTTCAGGAATGGAATGATATGAATTTGCGCTGGAATTCTTCAGAATACGGTGGTGTGCGAGATTTACGGATTCCACCGCATCGTCTGTGGAAGCCAGATGTATTAATGTATAACAGGTAAATTTGTACACACAGCTACTAATTTTGCACCCATATCATTTTCGCAGTTGTCGTGTGAGCCAGTCGCTTTTCCGGCGGCTGCGAATTCTAAACGCTCGATCTTGGGTGTCCGTAGTATGAGTGAGGGCCCTATATTTGCATTGAAAAGCCATAATCATTTACATTTGCAAAATTTCCACCCTTTTTGCCAGTCACATAAATCTCGAGAGCGAAGCGAGTCTCCCGCCTTCGCTCATTGCTCGACTCAGATGTCTATTTGGAATATTAAAGACATAAATTCACCACCTTCATGGCGGAGACGCATGAGTCTGATTTAATTTGAGAACAATAAATATTTGGTTAGTGTAATAGAACAAATAAGTTGGCCCGAGACCGAGCCCGGAATTGTTGACGTCTGTTTGTGACTCCCACACAACATCGCACCTGTTTACATTGTCGCCAATTGAATTGCAGCGCCGACGAGGGCTTCGACGGAACGTACCCGACCAACGTGGTGGTCAGGAATAATGGGTCGTGCCTGTATGTTCCACCTGGAATCTTCAAGTCCACATGCAAAATTGATATCACTTGGTTTCCCTTTGACGACCAGCGGTGCGAAATGAAATTCGGCTCATGGACCTACGATGGTTTTCAGGTAATTAAAACTTAATGATTAAAATGTCCACATTCTTGGGCGACCCAGGCCAAAGTACACACTATCAGAAACTCATAATTCTCCCCACACCGCCGCCACCCCACCGAACGATATACCTTACATTGGCAAATTTTATTAAATAACACCAACTTCAGCAACACCAAGAACCCTCAGCCAAAAGATTTCCGCACAATGTGGAAGTTTATTTGTTATGCTAGTACATGAGAGCGAGAGAGAGTTTGAAATTTTGCCACACACAAAAGGCACCCCGGCGGGGGGCGGTGGCAAGATGAATATTTTGGGAGGCCTATGCCCCAGCAAAATGGTCTTGAGTAAATATCATAAAATAAAATACAATGATTTCCCCATCCCCAACACTTGCAAATCAATAGTCGTCCTGTCAGCATAACATTTCACTCACGTCGTGTTCATTTTCCATTTTACCAGAAATTCAGCCCCTCCCACCCATTTATTTAGTGCGACTTCAGTCAAGTAATTAATAATTGATAAACAATCATTAATTTCGGGCCTGTTTCGCTGCAATCATTTCCCATTCCAGGCCCATTTTTCCAACCTCACCAGCAGCTGGACATTTCATGAAATATGCTTTTTTCACAATCACAGCTTTGTCGTCTGCTCGCATCGTTTAATTGTTTGATTAGTTTTTGAAAAAAAAAAATGCACAATATGAGAGAAATTAAATTGCAATGTGGTTTCGATTTCAAACTGAAAAGTATACCACATGCGGTTTTTAATCGAGACAATTCAATTTGCTATTTTTTATTGTGATTTAGTAATTTTAAACCAATAATATATTTACAGACGAATTTTCATTTAAACCTTAAATCGCATCAATTACAATAACATCCAGTAATCGTATTCATTTTTCTAGTTATTCTTTTAGGGGTTGTTCGGCATTGCTGTGCCCAAACAAAATTAAATAATGACCAAAAACATACAGCTAATTGCGCCAAATTCTCTATGTTTGCTTCAGAACGGTTCAGCAGATATTTGAACAATTCGACCCTAACAAACATCTCGAGAATCAATTCTCGTGGGGTTCCGCTCGTCAAGAGTATGATTCCCAGTTTGGGATAAACAATAAGTTTTGGGCTGCTCGACAAAGCCACCCACGTGAGCTTTCGTGAAAAGTATGTCGAGAGCTCACAACCACTCGGCGTCCCCTGACGGAAAATTGTCTCCTGCGGGATTGATCTGGGAGGGAGGTGGCTTTATATGTATTATAAAATAAATTGCTCATGAACTATGTGTCTCGTGCAATTTAGTTGACCCACAATGGCATTCCCTTATTCCATTTTCGCTGATTCCCATTTTGCGAACATTTCCACCCCGTCCCCCCGGTCATCCCCTCCGCCGACCCACGGACAAAATGATAAATGCACCGTTCATGGTTTTGAATTTATACACACATACACAGCGCCATGTGCGGGTTCTGTGCCCTGCATGGTTGCGCCTGTGTGAAAGTGGGTGGCACAAGATTGGGTGTGAGACCCATGATAGCTCAACTATACCATCTATGCCTGCCATGCTGTACAATTGCAGTATTTCGATGGGATGTACACTGCTGCACATTGACTGCGAGACTTCTTTCCTCAGCCCTCGGCATTGTTTGCCCGTGGCTTTGCGAAATTTTCACTTATGATAATTCCTATTTTGCGGATTCTCCTCACATTTAGGAGAAATTGTCGCCCTGGAAGACGTGAAAATGGCTCTTGTGGCAAAACCAAGGGGAGTCGAGCTGAAAAAGTATCATAGACTTCTGCCGCACATGAAAACTTCTTTGTCAACACCACACAACAATGCAATGGCTGTGCTACAAACACTCTGCAATTGCAATGCTGAGATTCCCACCCCAAAAATCTCATCCCCCATTTTGCATGTACTCGTAGGCGCCACACCTCCCAAAAGTGCTATTATTGTTGTGTGATACTCTGGGTCAAATTCACATTCCCATCTCTATGTAGTACATGGTTTATCGCGACATATAAAGCATAATCTGGGTGTGAGAGTCATATTTTTGAAATTTCCACCAAAACATGCCGGGACATATCTTTAAAGTAATTACACAAATATACAGACTAATAGTACGGAAATTTGCGTCCTTAATTCCTAGGCGAGGAGACCCATTAGCCCTCGTCCTGGATAAAAATCTGCACCATTTGCATCGATCGCATGAATTATGGCCCTCACAGGGTTTAATCAAGGTGCTCACGTCTGAATGTAGAGCCATTGACCCGGTTTTATATATACACACACACCCAAACTGTAGATTGACTTTAAATCTAATTATAAGATCTCCTCTCAAAAGTGAGAACAAATTGTCGGGATCTCCAAACGACTGAGATTGTTTCGCTTGAATTTATTATTCCCCTGAAGGCAGTTGTGCTGTAAGTTCTGCAACAGCAAATTCTAAGAATGAATGGGAGTTTCCTGATTCTTGAACTGGAGCAATAAATCCCGGAATAATTGCTGTAAGTAATTTCCCTTCTGGACTTCATGTCCCCCGTATTGTCATCAGATATGGAGATTAAGATCACTTACTACGCCCCTGTTCCGAAATGACCCTCACTGGGTAGTTAATATCATCGCGAGAAAGATGTAATAAATTCCCGGAGAAATATATTCAACTTGCAACTGTCTCTGGACCAAATCTCCCCAGTTTCGTTACATTAAATATGTACAAGATATAGAGGACAATTTCTGCTGAGTATTGCAACTTGCACTCAAGCTACTCACCAAATGCAATTTCATCTCGTGCATCAGTTTCCGAATCATTGAATATTTTTCAACTGAAGAATGGTGCGGAGGATAGACAAGATTTACAATTTCAACTCATAATATATTGTTCAATTCTCTCGCTGAGATATTTTCTGTGGAAATACGCTCACAATTCAGAAATATTATACTAAGCGAATTGGGTGGTTTTGTTGCCTAGCACGAAATGATAGTTCTGAATGGAATACAATGCAAATTATTTACATTTTTTCCGCTATTCGGCCGTTGAGGTGAATTATGGCGCTGAAGGGAATAAATTTTATCGGTTCAAGTAGCAAAAAAAGGATGTTTAATGGCATTGTTTACATCGTTGCTGGTGGATGATTGGCATTTACAGCCTCAGATTTGTATTCCAAGACGGAAAAGAAGAAATATCGATCGACAGAAATTCATTGTGAGAAACTATCCATTTCGCTTTATGAAGCCAATAAATGAGACCACAATCGCAATTAAAAGAATATTCAATTTGCAGACCAATATTAGAGCAATTGTATTCAGAAACATTCCACATCCAATATCGTTTATCATAATTATTTTCTGGTATTTTAACCATTCTAACATTGTCTCTCTACTGCTAACGTTTGCCGTTTAATTATGAGATTGGAGAATTGTGAAATATCGCCTTGAGCACTATCTAAAATATTTTATGCCTATCTTAATTGATTCACAACACAAATTGCTAAATATTCAGAAGATGCATCAGACGAATGATACATAGTCATGAGTCATGAAGGATTGTGTGTGGGAATTTTCCGTCGAAATACAAGTCTATGTAGTGTAGCATAAATGAAGGGAGTGAAACTTTTGGCCCTTGAAGCTTGAGTAAAAGTTCGAACGATAAATTGCGGTGAAAATACACTTATTTTCGCAAAAGTTGCTCACAAAATGCATTTTGCAGGCCCAAATCATAAATTGCACGTCCCCAAAGGGCAACTCTATAGTGAATAGTTCTTCACAATGGCAATTTTCCCTGCGACTCTTTCGCAAGCTTTCATGCAGTTTGTCGTTGGCGAGAAGTATGTGATGCCTGAGCATAAATTCAGTGTCATTTCGTGATATGTTAATTTATATTTTGTTTATCTCATGGGAAAATCTATGCTCCGGGTGTATTCAAATAGTGAAATTGCGGAAATTACGTTGAATTATACAGGGCTCTTCATCACCCAGAATTTCATCACTTGTTTATCTTAATTCTTCAACAAATCACCATCTCCCTCATGGCCACGAGAAGGGTTTTCTCTTTCCGTCCCATTCCTTTTTCACCGCGTGAATGTGTTTCCACATTAAATTACATTTTGCAAGATGATGAAAGACCCTGAGAGACGAAAAATACACTTGTAAATAAGAATTCAATTTTATAAGTGGAGCTCTCAGCTCTCAGACAAGGTTGAGGGGATGCCATCAGGGGGTGAAGAGAGCCATAGAGAAGATTGGACGACATTTTTGCGGGGGTGTTGTTTTTATTCTTTGCTCTCATTTCGCAACGCCGGAGACAATTTTGGCTCCGATTCTTATTAAGATTTATACAGGTTTCTTGATAAATGAGGGTTGGGCATGACGTCATACTTGCAGAGCATTTTTACAACATCACAGAGCCTCAATTTGTGCCCACATCGAAAGGTTAAGGGTCATAGAGTGTCCATGCTAATTGAATTCACGATGTGATTCCAACTATTGATCTACAAAAACATTTTCTGTGCCCACACAATCTTCAGAAAATGCGTGAAGAATTGGTATTTTCATAACTCTTGTCAAAATCGTAGAAGGGTTCATAAGCGACTGTAAGCTCTTCATCAATGATTTTCATCAAGAAAGCTTGTCTCGCTGTGCCACCGTTTCCAGAAATTCACTCCTTAGGGAAGGGCAAAGCGAGCAAAGGTTGGCTAAAGGGTGAGACTTTAACTGTAGGCGTGCGTTTAATAAAATTAAATTCTCCTTATCGCCGGCATTATGGAAAGTTTGCCAAAATCAAGCACTTGCGTACTGTAGAAGTATAATTACAGCGAGGAAATAATTGTGGGCTCCGACGATGCTTTCGGGTCGTCTTTCTTAGAGTGCCGCTGTGAGTTTGAATTTGGAACAAAGACCGTGTACATCTACCCCAATTGTTACACTCTCAAGTCCAACTTTTCACAGTCGAGAGAGTGTGTGGACTTTAATTTATAAATTGCTGCGAGAGCTGAACGAATGAGTTGTGGTTGTTGTAAATACAAGAGGGCGTTATTTGCATAGAAGGAACATCTCTTACTGAGGAAATGCATGCAAGGCTTCAGGATATTGTCGACAGACTCAAATTTCATTTGTACGCCACATTGGTGGCATAATACATCTTAAAGAAGCGCTCATCGTGCACAGAGTGTCTCTTTAAGTGCCAACAAAAAAGGCTCTTGTCTGGAGAAGAGAAAGTGCAAAATGAAAGGGAGGAATAATCTGCTCAGTGAAATCCATTTTCCAATTTAAATGCATGAAAATGTTTATGAAATTTCACTTCATACAAATTCCATTCTCCCCTCCAAGTTATTATCCCACCAGCTGTGATTGTTCCATTGAAGCAACATCAACAATTAATCCTATTCACAGTGTGATGAAAAACCACAAACATCAACACAGTCTGACTCTCTGTTTCCCTTTCACAGCTCGATCTTCAGCTGCAGGACGAGGCGGGAGGAGATATCAGTAGTTTTATAACGAATGGCGAATGGGAGTTGCTGGGTGAGTGGCGATTAAGGACAAATTATCTACCCTTAACAGCTTCCTTAACACTTTCTAATTACTGATATGATAGGTGTTCCCGGGAAGCGTAATGAAATTTACTACAATTGCTGCCCCGAACCTTATATCGATATCACATTTGCCATACTAATCCGACGGAAAACCTTGTACTACTTTTTCAACTTAATCGTGCCATGTGTACTGATTGCATCTATGGCACTTTTGGGATTCACACTGCCACCAGATTCCGGTGAAAAACTCTCGCTTGGTGAGTCACAATTCTGGATAAATATTCTCATGAGTCAGGATTTTTAAAATATATCGATGACCTCTTTCAGGAGTAACAATTCTTTTGTCACTAACCGTCTTCCTAAACATGGTGGCTGAAACAATGCCAGCCACTTCGGATGCTGTGCCTCTTCTAGGTGAGTACCTTTCTCCCCATACAAGTCCACTCAATTGCGCGTTGATAATTCTCAATTTTGAGGTGGAAGGAATTGGCTTTCTGCGCAAATTTGCTCACATTCGTGGTGATCAAACGGTCGGGCTTCTTTTGCCGTACGCCTAATTGCCAATTAATCCCAGCCATATGAGATGGTCGGTTGTATGGAGAGGTTGTAGTGGCTGTAGTGCAATTGCGAGCAAGTTGAGGTCGGGTGTTTGGGGTATAAAGTAAATCGGTCGGAAAACCACAGGGTGGAAAAATTCAAACATCCTGCACGACCTTCTATCACTACATGTGATATCTTAATCTAGTCAAATATCCGGCATTATTGGTCCAGCAGGATTGGCCATTGCACAACAAAAGGGCATCTCCTCGGGGCGCTCAACTAAGCCCTGCCAGTGATCACAATGAGAATCAGATACAGAAGTTTGTGCTGGTGGTTATTTTTTTTTTTGACTCAATGACTGTAAAACTGACTTTCATGTTCGGGAGTTCTTTTTTTCCATTACATTGCCCAAAGCTCTTTCGATCGACAAAATACCCCCTCTGGCCCGCACCCATCGCATTTATCATCATTGTGAATTATTTATAGCTTATGTGTACACCGATAAGTTGTGAATAATTCAGCCTAAAGCGCTGAAACATCCTCTCTCAAGTGGAATAGTAAAGTGTATTCCCGATGAGAGCATTTCCGAGCGGTGTATATGGTGAAATTTCAGCGCCGAATGATTGCACAATGTCGCCAGTATAAATTTACGAATTAGAGAGGAGATGTTTTGTCGCCTAAGAGGCTGTAAAGTGACAAGTTAGAGGCCCCATGGGTTGACTTTCAACGCGCTTATCCATTTCCACACCCGTCAACAAGTCAGAAAGTCTTTGACTCGCAGCGTTGAGTGCCCAGAAGAAGGGAAGAAGAAAAAAAATACATGGGGCTGTATGCAGAAAAGGGTGAGCCCAGGAAAAATTATTATTCATGAAGTTTCAGAAACGATAAATTGTGTGGAAAATGTTCTTTCAATATTTATAGCAGAGGCAAATACACTTTTTCTGCACACACTCACCACGGGAGTTCTCGCTGTTTCACATTGAATACTGTATGTGTTTCCTATTCTTTCTCACCACAGGAACTTACTTCAATTGCATTATGTTCATGGTAGCGTCGTCGGTTGTGTCAACAATTTTAATTTTGAATTATCACCATAGAAATGCAGACACTCACGAGATGTCAGAATGGGTAATGATCGCAATGATGCAATTTGCTATTTCCACTTATCATCACTCACTCATGTGCTTTTTGCACTCTTCACGGCAGATTCGTGTGGTCTTCTTGTACTGGTTGCCTTGTATCCTTCGCATGAGTCGGCCAAGTCAGGATGGCGGCACCTTCGAGATTCCGTCGGTGAGTGGATCGAAAGAGAAGCAACAGATACAGAATGTGGAACTGAAAGAGCGGTGAGCCGGCCAATGTGGCAATCAAATGAAATGGTGGTCTTTACTTGTGAAAACCAAAAAAATAATTAAATCTTTCAGATCGTCAAAATCCCTGCTTGCTAATGTGCTTGATATTGATGATGATTTTCGTTGTAATCATCGTTGCACGAGTGGAACACTTCCGCACAATCCCACATACTATAGAACCGTTTTTAGGTGAATGCAATGACAAATGCTCTATATATATAACACTCTATCAGCCATACTTATTCACTATGATATATGCCTTGTGATATTTTTGCAATGCCACACATGCAAGTGATACACCACATGTTATCTATACCTTGTCTTCCACCAACAGGCAAGGAGACGATGGGAGCGTTGGACCTGTGTCCGATGGCAGAATGCACGAAACAATATCACACACATGCCTAAGCTCGTCTGCTGAATACGAATTGGCACTAATTCTCAAGGAGCTTCGGTGGATTACAGATCAAGTAAGTGCAATGCACGGAATTAACAAACTCTGGCCATAAAGTCACCAAAACTTGTGGCTCAAGAACACTCTAAAATACCAGCGCCGCAACTTGATGAATTTTGGGACTCAACCTTATCGCTCTTAAAGTCTGTCATTATTATTATTTTATGGAGATTTAAGTTGACCCAGTGCACTAATTTTGATGGACGGAAGCAAATACTGCACCATAGTGGACAATCATGCACCACAGATAACCGTGATACTCGGTAAATATAGACAAATAGCCTGCAGCGTCATTGCAAACAGCAAATGAATATTAGCAGAGACACTATTGCTGACAATCGCAATGAATCATGTTGAAAGTGTTGAGGGGAATATAAAAAACAAACCACATTTCCTTATTATGCATCTCAACTACTGAAAAACAGAGAGAAATATATCATTTTCATTAATATTTCGAGATGAAATAAAACAATTCCGTGGAAGGTGACGAAAACGGCCTATTTAGCTGAAACTCCTTTTCTCCTCCGCTATTTCCGGCTCCTTCCACAAACTAAACACCGGCCGTGAAATTCAATTAAAACAATTCTGTACATATTCTGATGCATTCCTGGAAATTTCATCATTTATCCGAGAACTAAATTGAATCTATTTTTAAGCCCAATTCCTAAAGGACATGTCGGATGCCCATACTGTTTTCCACCAGATAAATTTACTCGCCCGATCTGATTTTTTAATGTGAAATCTCATAAATCTCGTCTCTTTTTACCCGCATTATGCCAAAATCACGTGTGGCGAATGCAGAAGAGATTCCTTAAGACGTGAAATCTTGAAGATTGATGATATATTCAGTGGTAACAAAGAAAGGAGTTAATGACATTCTCTGTAATCCCTACTCTTCAATGGCACGAAAATATTCAAATTTGAAATTGATTGAGGCGCGCATTGCACTTGCTGATTGAGTGCTCCGAAATTCGGGAATATACATATTCTGGAGTGAACAAAGGCAAGAAGACAATTCCAACTTATACATCAACCCAATTTCACTATTGCATCTCTGTGAACATCTTATGGAGTGAATTGTATCTGCTCAATGGCAAGCACACGAGAGGGTAATGCTTTTCAAGGAAAGTTTCATTGTGTGTATGTTTGGGAATTGATTTAAATCATCAAGTTGAGTGTGAGTTTTGGGGGTGAACTTGAGAAGACACTTTCGGTGAACTGGCAAACATATTTCTCTGGCAATTTACAGAGTAAACAAATATGAGCTGGCATGACTTTCGTGTTCTGAATACTAAAAACATAATGGTGTGTTGGCCTAACATGAAATTTCATTTTCCAGCTTCGCAAAGAAGATGAAAACACGGACATAACTAAAGACTGGAAATTTGCTGCAATGGTAGTTGACCGATTGTGCCTTATAATTTTCACGTTATTTACCCTTATCGCTACACTAGCTGTCCTCTTTTCAGCACCTCATTTCATCTTCCCTTAACCATACAAAAACTTCCTTAGATCAATTATTCTACTGCTTTCCCTCACACCCTAAAAAGAAATTACATCCCACAATTGTACGAAAAACATTGGAAGATTTAACGCCAATAGAATTAAATTTTCGTTCGAAAAAAGAAAGAAACTGAGAGGAGAATAGTGAGAAAAACATTGAAAAAAATTCTGAGATGAATATCAAATAAATGGATATACTATAAAGATGAAAGATACAACCTTCAAAGAAAGTGTGACTGATAAAGTAATGAAAATAATTTCCTTTCCAAAAACAGATTAACTAACAGGACTTAAAAGTAATAACTAACAGTGCTATATCTAAAAAGAAATGTGTGAAGAAAAAAAAACATAAAGAAGAGCCACACAACTTCTAAGGACAATTACAGACATTTCAATTACTAAAATTATTACTAGTGAATCAATATATCCAAATAATTCCATTATAAAAAATTGCAATACTTAATAAAATTGAGGAACTTAGGAAAAGGAAACTTTCTATTATCACAATGTGCCATTGAAATTAGATTTACTAAAAAAAAGGTTGAATATACTAGATGAAACCGTGAGTGTAAGAAACCTTCCAAATAGCGATGGCTTATTTGGTTTTTAATTGAAAAAAAAAGGATATTTATCAGAGCTCATATTAAAGGTTGTTTTTCATACTCGAAAAGATACCCATAATATCCATCATCAACGACGAGATGGATTCTGTTTGCAGTCGAAAATGCGAAATACTTAAAAAAAAAAGAAACTATTAGTAAAAAAAAATTCGATGCAAGTTCGGGGTGTAGATTTAAAAGAAGAGATAAAAGAAAACAATAACGGGAAGAAACATAAAATAACTTATGAGAAAAAAAACATGTAGATCAAACACAATAATAATTAAATCTAAAAGAATCATATTTATAGCCACTCTCAGAAAATGAAGAAAAAAAATATCACTCTAAAGAAATTAGGAAAATATTTTAAAAAATTTTAAAACAATTGGATTGATACCAATTCTTAAGGAAAGAAAAGCATAATCATAGCGAGTTTTGTACCTTAAGTATAATATAGTTTGTAAAAAAAAAATGAAATTTTTCGATAATAGCGGCTTTGTTAACAAATTCAATAAGAATTTTTCCAAATATTGATAGCATAGCATTTGCGGTAAAAGGAATATTTGAGAACATGAGGAGGGGAGATTTCAGGTAATCATCTTAATAGAGCGTAGAATTTGAATAAAAAGGAAAAACGGGGTAGTCAAAATGCTTTCTAAGTATTAAAAAAAAAGTATGGGCTATGTTTCAATCTGGCTGCATTTGTAGTGTGTGGAGCTGAACAAGAAATGCAGCTACAGTGAAAATGGCGTAAAAAAATATGTTCAAACAATTGAAAAGTCTTTGTACATATTCTAAAGAAATATTTTCGAAATTAAACCCGAACATAGGTGTATTACGATTTCAACAAAAAATGACTACCCTCTCAAATTGAGGAGTTGAATCTCAAAGAATTGTTTTAAAATAAAATATATTTTAGCAGTGATCAGAAATGATTTTCATTGGAAACGAAGTAAATAAAAATAGATGAGTTTTCGTCGATGAGCAATAAGAGCAAATTAATCTTGTTCAAAAAAAAAACTGTAAAGATGAGTAACTTCAAGTGATATAGTCATCAAAAAAATTCGAAATAGGAGAAGTATTTATTTTCCAGAGTTAAACTCTTGGAGAATGCAGTCGAAGGGAGAGATGAAATTCCACAAAATTTCCAACACTGCAGAACATCAAAGTGATGTAAAACAGCAGAATGAAGCATTAACTCTCCACCCAGCAAAAGTTGTGTGGAGAGTTTGTTTATATCAAAATGTACAGAACAATAGATTCAGAGAAAAAAAAATTGAAAAATTACACTTGACGCACACAACAAGGTGAGAAAACGACGAGAATTATTCAACAGAGATGCAAAATGAAGCATAAAATGATACAATAATGAGAGAACTACCAATAATAGTGTAATATTACAAATTTAGTGACAGCGTAACGATATTTTATAGTGATGAAGGAAACAGTGAGAGATGTGAAAATAAACAAGAAATAGAGAGAAACGATTATTCATATATTATACACATGGGGAAGGAAAGAAATTTAGAAAATAAATCATATTGTTACGTCACGTAAATGCTGTGATATGACTTTTTATAAATGGTGAGAAAAAAAGAAGATGCATTAAAAATGATTGTTGAAACAATGAATAAGAGAAATCGCAAAACTTGTTGATTTTATTAGGAAATATTCCGAAAGAAAAAAAATGATTACACACAACAGGAGAAATGTACACGAATCACGATAAACATTTTTTAATTTCCGATCTGTCATTGCATGTTTCACGAAGCCTTTTCCGAATCTTCATCACCATTGAAAAAAAATATGTTGAAAAAAATCTCTTAAAAGTGAAAAAGCTCTAAGTCAAAACACATCTGAAGACAACTTCTTACAATTAAAAACAGCATCACCGTAATATCCAGCAATTAAAGTAATGAAAGAACATTTTGAATTAAGAACGAACATATTGAATGAAGTTTACAGTATCAGAGATAAAGCAAAAAATGTATAATTAAAATAAAGTAAGTAAATGCAAGTAAATAAATAAATAATATCATAAAGATATAAATTAAATATCATAAATTAATTGATAATAATAAAAAAAAAATCGTAGAAATAAATATGTATAATGCAAAAAAAGTAAAGTAATAAGTAGAATAAAGTTAATCGTAAGGGAGATTTAAAGAGAAAAACATAAATTGGTAAAGTAGAAAGGATAAATCATAGCTAAAGTGAAACGAGAAAAGATACTGTAAATTTACTTCAATATAAAGAGTAATAAAGTATATTTATAATATATATTATACACACCTCCTAATATTTACACCCTATTATTAAATTTGTCAGCAAATACCCTATTTAGGTGGCTGTACTACCATTTTCTATAAACATATTACCGAATCTTAATTATATATTTCAAAAAGTGAATGAAAAATGAATAAAAACATACTACGGTCTTCCTACGATGATATAACCATCATTTAACGAAATGAAAAATTACCCTGATCTTCATTTTCACATTGATTTCTTTCACTCTCCAACAAATTAAACTATCTGATCACTCGTCAAACCTGAGTTTTCGTTCAATGACGCAACCTAAAGGACTATCAAATATTCAATGCAATACCTATTATAATAAACTATGAAAACCATGAAAACTATGAATAAATGTAGCAGGAAATCGAGTTGAAATGACAATTTTGTTGCAACAACGAATTTGATGAATAATTTCAACAGTATTTTGTTATTTCTACAAACTTAGCCAAAAAGGTTCACTGTATTTGGAAAATTTACGAAATAACTGATCCCAAATTAAGGTTTCTTCACTTTATATTAAAAAAAAAGAAATAGACGAGATTTTGAACACGAAGAGACGAATAAAAATATTAAGCTTAAACCTCTTCACCTAAAGACCCATAACTATAACCTCTAACTCTATATTATCACTAACTATACAACTTTACACACTTTTCACACACATTTACACATTTAATCACCTTCTTCATGATATACTTCCTGCAAGAAAATGCAATAGATTACTCTATACCTTTGCTAACATACCTTGAGAGTTACAAAATGAAAAAAAAATGAATAATCCGTAAATTGAAAGTAATTCTTATATTTAAATATAAAAATATTTAAACACGAAAAAGGGGATAATTGACGAATTAACTAAATATTGGCTCTTGTACATTGCCAAAAAAAAGTGAGTAAAGCAAATATATCTAAATAAATTATAATAAAAGAAGACAAGTTAATAAAAAAAAACAAGTATAACACGTAATAAAGAAAAAGTTGAAAGTGTTCATGATTGAATTTATTGTTACATACATTTACATTACATATTAAAGACATAAAATTGCAAATAACAGCAAGAAAAAAACTCGAAAAATGCTTTCCAAATGACGTTACACGATTTTTACCCAGGAGAGTAACTTTAGGTACCACTTTAGTTCGGAATAAAAGACACATTATAATTTTGTGAGCAAACGAGCACGTATTTTTCCGTTGGTCTCGGTTTTTTTTCCTGAATTGTTCCCCACAGTGAGGAAAAAAAGAGTGTAGAGGCAAAAAGCGCAACCAACAACACCCAAATGCACTGAGTGACACCAATTTTGTTGAGAACTTACACACTTGGAATAATAACAGAATTACACACAAACTAATGCAGTGCAAAAGATTTCTTGTGAAACATTTTAACTGGCTGAACACAGCAAAAAATGAATAAAAATAAAAATGGAGAAAAATACGGTATAATTTTGTGAAATGTTACACTTTATTGTAATGCAAATTTGAAGATAAAAAGAATATTTTCTGTTTTCAAACATGTTTGTAAAATGTTATTTGAGAAAAACGATGAAGAACTTTAATAAAATTGATAATTCATTAAACAAAATCGATTGTATTTTCTTTCAATAGCTTCGCCATTGCAGATTTTTACACTGTTTCCACTGGCATTTTAGTGGAGCGTCACGTGAAAACGAGAAAAAAGTGAGTATATATGGCCAATTGATTTTCTCTGTATGTAAAAATCGCAAAAACAATCGACGGGAGGGGCGTGTTATTGAGAAAATGGATTTGCAATTCATTAAAATGAGATTATCACAGTTGAAATTGAACCTATGCTAAATTTTGAGACTCATTGATTTGCATCATTCTTTGCACTCTGAAGAGTGCTCTCGCGTTGGAATGACGAGCCCATTGAGTATGTGTAAGCTCGTGACACAACATGCTTTTCCCGGGAATTCCCGCGATTTCCCGATTGCTTGTTAACCGATCTCAACACAACACTGCTCTTGGCCTTGCTCAGCTGTAGAAACGAGATACTCGTATAGTGAATTTGAATAAAAATCTGTCGCGGATCGAATGAGCTTGATTAGCTTTTACAATTCAGTAGAGCATTGAAGAAGTTGTTCTTCGGAGGTGCGTTGCGGGCTCACGGAGACATCGAATGCTCGATATCGATGCATTGAGTGTGAATTAGATCAGCCAATCACGTTGATATCTTATCAGTTTTGCGCATTGACGAGAGCCCACTTTTTATCTACAGCCACAATGTTTTTCTGTACTGCTCGTTGTAATTTCACATGAGGTGAGTAAAATCGCATTGTAGCCTCGGGCTCAGTTGAAAGGCATCCGCCTGATAAATCAGTGGGCAATCGTCGTGTGAATACAGTGCGCAATTATATAATGAATAAATTGATATTGCTGTGCATATCACTCGTAATTTCAACTGTTCATTGTGACTTGTGCAGTGTTTGCGAGTGTGTCAAAAGTGGGGACAGTTTGAGGATCTTCTGCAGTAGCTCTGTGGAGCTGGACAACCTCGCTTGGCCATCGGCGAAGAGAATTGAGGCGCACTTCAACCGGCTTGGCCTCACATACCTACCCAAGTAGACGCTCTTATCGCAGACGCGGCCATTGACGCGATATCACAATCAACCGTTCATTTCAGATTAACCGGAGACGCGAGTGTTGTTGGACTGAATTTCGATGAAAATGCCATCAATAGCTTCACACCCGAACCTCTGCAGTTCTTCAAGAACCTCGAGACGCTCTCGTTGGCAGGCAATAAGATTGCCGAAATGCCCAGGGATTTTCTGCGCACTCCTTCCACTCTCAGGCACCTGAATCTCTCTCGCAACGCTCTTCAGGAGCTCGATTCCGCCCTTCTGAAGCACTTGAAAGGCCTTCAGAGCCTGGATCTCAGTCACAATATGTTCCGCAAAGTCTCATCAGAACTCCTCTCGGCGCTCAGTCACGTTGAGACGCTCAATCTCGAGGACAATCTCGTGTTTGATATTGAGGACCTCGATGGTGACAACAGTGACGAAGTCGCGAAGAGACACTTGAGCATCAGGCAGATGAATTTGGCCCACAACAATTTTGCAGTTATAACGGCGAAAACTTTTGCTGACTTTGACAAATTGTAAGTAAAATTATAATGTCTTGATGTCTTTCACTCAAACAGAACTGCATATCTGCAGTGTCAACAATATTATCTCTCGCAAAATGAACTATTTCTTGACTTCAGACAAAGCTTAAGAACATTTAATGAGAAATGCGAAACTTGCTGAGATTGAGTCACAATTGTAACAAATTCATCACAGCTAAAATTATGAAAGTGACGCACATTTAAGCAAAAAAAAATAAATTCAGCCTCACAATGAATGTGTAGGAATGAAAGTCCCTTTAATTAAAACTAGAAAACAGATGCGAGAATAAATGCTTTCAGTTTGAAGCGCGTTCATTTTGCATTTCGTGGCTGTGTTCTGAGAAAATTCTTCCCACGGAAAATTTGCCATTTCCACGAGATTTTGCAGTGTTCCAGTGAAATTTCACTCATCCCACTGATTCATAATTTCTCAGTTGAATTTCCACCCCAAAAAACCACCCCAAACGCTTTCGCCATGACCCCGTTTTTTCCATCCAAACTCCCAAACTTTCCCAGGAATTGAGAATGCTTTCAGTGAATTTCCCACACACAGAATAGGGGAAAGGATTATAAATTAACTAGGATTTCCCATGCAAGAGATACACCATGTGCTCCGTCTCGCTCACCCATAAATTCCGTATAGTTGTGATATTTCACAAAATAATTAATCGCATGTAGTTTAAGTCCGGTTGATTAATAATTGAACAAACGGCGTTATAACTTTCGCTGAACGGTTCGTCCTCTTTCCAGGGAATCGCTGGACATTTCTCACAACAAGATTGCCAATGTGAACCAGAAGGCGTTCAAGAACATGAAACTGCTGCGAACACTCGACTTGTCTGAGAACCAAATTGAAGACCTTCATTTGCATCTGCCCGACTCTGTGGAGATTTTCCGTGCTCGGGGAAATCGCATAAAGCTGTGGCCTCTCACACAACTCCCGGAAGCAATCAAGGCGATTCACGTGGAGAACAATCGACTCACTGAGCTCTTCACCCCCACCGATGCATCCACCAAATTGGCCTTTTTCAATGCATCCGACAATCTAATTGAATTCCTGCCCGACCATGTGGCCCTGCCAGAATTGACAGTGCTGGATTTGAGCTTCAATCAACTCACTTCTGTGCCTCAGGGCATGTCAGTGCGCACCCCCGCGCTCGCCACCCTCATCCTCGACCACAATCCCATCGAGACCATCCTCTTCGTCGACCCCATCACCGTGGGCAACCTCTCCCTCAGCAACATGCCGCTGGTCAGCGCCCTGCACGCCAAAGCCTTCTCGCCACTGCGCGGGAGACACGCCCAGGAGAACCACACTTGCGTCTCCATCAGCATCTCGCGATGCCCACTGCTGCACGACATCCACGAGCAGGCCTTCCAGGGCGTGCACCTCTGCAAGGTGAGACACACGTCATGAAATATCTCGAGACGCCCAATCACGCCGATTCCGGCTGATAAGCGCTTTGTTTCTCGGCCTCAGACTGCGATAACGAGTTGATAAGTTTGTTTTCCTTACTGGCAAAAACATGACAAATCGTTGAATCAACCGATTTTTGAAAGAGCGATCTTTCCAACACACATCTAGTTAAAAAATTAACATTAAATTCACGTCCGATTAGTTGTGATGTGAAAGGAAAGTTAAACTGCGTGAATGGCATTTAAATCTGATGAGAAATAGCGCAGTTTCAGCTCAATTATTCATTTTCATCAATTAAAATTAGAATACATGTGAAAACGTTTCGCAATTCTTTCTTCCAGCTTGATTTGAGCGGCAATAATCTGACCAAAATTCCGGAGCATCTCACAGATTGGTCAAATCTGGAGGATGGCATAGATTTCCAGGACAACCCTCTAGATTGTTCCTGCTCAGCGCAGTGGATGCTCGACACGGTCCTCAATCAGCTCTACCGAAAGCCTCAACACCAGCATTTCTTATCTGAACTCAGGTGCGCCTCTCCGGAAGCCTTCGCTGGCCAGCGAATAGTGCGATACTACAGGAGACGCGCGGCCTTTTGCAATCCCAGCGCTCGTGCAATTCTTCAGACCACTGAGGAGCCCGAAACTGCGGAGGCGGGCATTCATTTGCACCTGAACAAGGGCCCCGGAGTGGGAATCATAATCGCGACGTCGTGCCTCGTGCTGATCGCCATGATTGCAGCAGGACTCTACATGGTTCGCGTGGAGAAGCAGCGATTGCGGAGGAACAGGGAAAAGCGACTGTTCAGGGAGCTTCAGTAGACGGAGATTAGCATAATGGAGAAAAATATAAGGATTCTTAATTGTAGCGGAACTTGGGCTGTCCCAATCCATTTAATTCAATTATCACGCCTCCTCAACTCATCCTTCGCGACAAATCTAATTCTTCGCTAATTAATGCCCGACTTTTATTGATATATCCTTGCGAGAGGATGAAAAGGAAGGCTTGAAAGTACAAAATATTCACAATCTTACCAATTAGCTATCTTTGGTTCAATCCTATGGCACTCCAGATCCTTCATCAATGCAGCGTTGTGTGGGATCTCTGCAGTTCTGTGGTTCCATTGGCCGACGTTGTGGCGGAAGTGGAGGAATTTCTCGCGTGGGACATCATATTCTCCACTCTGTTGGTCGTCTCTCTCACAACTCCTGAAATATCAGCCAAATCCGGAAGTTCCAGCGTGATGTGAGCAGATAAGCGCTTGTACACAGAGCTGTTGCTGGGCTCCTTCTTTGCTCGGCGGGATTCCTCGTACTTCAGTTGCTGCTTCAGGAAAATGGCATTCTTGAGGAGTTCGTGGATGTTCTGGAAGCTCTTCTCTGACGCCTCTATTGATTTTATGGCTCTGAAAAGAGTGTCGCTTTCAGTAAAGTGACCAGGTGGAAAGGATATACGATATTCCTACCCAATTGCGTACTCCATGTCGTAACAGTGGCCCTGAAGATCTTGCTGGAGTTGCACAACTTCGCTCCTCCTGTCCACAATCAGGGGTAGCACCTTCCGGACGTGTTCCTGGATCCGGAAGAACGCCAAACTGGGCTCATTCGCTACTATGTGCATATTCTCTGAGATTTTCTCGCTGGCTGTGGAAATGAAAAGAAAACTTACAGTTCAATTGAATCACTCTGTGCGCCAAACAATCGATTTTCCATGCAAAAAAGTCCTCGTGTAATTACATTTTTCCGAAAGCTATTTTTGCTTAACCACAGAAATTTATATAAGAAAATGGTATATCAATATTTAAACTACTCACTTTTCCTAACTTTGGTTTCCAAATCACGGTCTACAGACATTTTTTAAGCAGATTATCTAAAGCGATCCCGAACAAAAACAATGGATGATTTTGACAACTCTGTATTGCAAAGATTAGTCACAGAGGAATCACTGGCGCTGTCGTCTCATTAAAGAAACTTCAGTGGGAGAATTCCGAGGAGAATTCCAAACAAAGTTTTTCTCTCTGCTTTTCCGGGATTTTTTCACAAAAACTCAGCAAATAATTGTAAAATGTCTGATGTGGATGATGATTTTATGTGTGAAGATGAGGAGGATTATGGTTTGGTAAGAGAAACTCGCATATTTGTCCTACAATTGGCTTTTCAATCCCGGCTGAAGCTCGGTTAGGTTATGTTGACAAAGTTCCCTTGCATGTATTTTTCCTTTTTCGGGGGATTTTCTCGCTGAAATTTCGTCTCTGAATCTTTGCAGGAGTACTCAGAGGATAGTAATTCAGAGCCCGATGTGGATCTGGAGAATCAGTACTACAACAGCAAGGCGCTGAAGGAGGACGAGCCGGAGGCCGCCTTGGCATCCTTCCAGAAGGTGCTGGACTTGGAGAATGGCGAGAAGGGCGAGTGGGGCTTTAAGGCGCTGAAGCAGATGATCAAAATCAACTTCAAGCTGGGCAAGTACGTGGAGATGATGACACGATACAAGCAATTGCTCACATACATCAAGAGCGCCGTGACGAGAAACCACTCGGAAAAGTCAATCAACAGCATTCTGGATTACATTTCCACGTCCAAGAATGTGAGAAAGAAGTCAAAGGGTGCTTAAGAATGTGATTTAAAAGAATTCCTGGGGTATTTCCAGATGGAATTGCTGCAGAACTTCTATGAGACAACTCTCGATGCCCTCAAAGATGCCAAAAATGATCGGCTGTGGTTCAAGACCAACACAAAATTGGGAAAATTGTATTTTGATCGCAATGATTTCACCAAACTGCAGAAGATCCTCAAGCAACTGCATCAGTCTTGTCAGGTGAAATGACTTTCCATTGGAGTCTTGGGCAATTGGAGCGTAGGATTTGTGTGATTTCAAGCGGCTAATTGACTTTTTTCTCTCTCTCCACAGACGGACGACGGTGAGGATGACCTGAAGAAGGGCACGCAATTGCTGGAGATCTACGCTCTGGAGATCCAAATGTACACCGTGCAGAAGAACAACAAGAAGCTGAAGGCGCTCTACGAGCAGAGCCTGCACATCAAGTCCGCCATTCCGCATCCGCTGATCATGGGCGTGATCCGGGAGTGCGGCGGGAAGATGCATCTGCGCGAGGGGGAGTTCGAGAAGGCGCACACGGACTTCTTCGAGGCATTCAAGAACTACGACGAATCGGGCTCACCACGGAGGACGACGTGCTTGAAATACCTCGTGCTGGCCAACATGCTAATGAAGTCGGGCATCAATCCTTTTGACTCGCAAGAGGCGAAGCCGTACAAGAATGATCCCGAAATTCTCGCCATGACGAATCTCGTGGTGTCGTATCAGAATAACGACATCAATGAGTTCGAGTCGATCCTGCGGAATAATCGCAACAATATCATGGATGATCCGTTCATCCGGGAGCATATTGAGGATTTGCTGCGCAACATCCGGACACAGGTGCTGATTAAGCTGATCCGGCCGTACACGCGCATCGCCATTCCCTTCATCTCCAACGAGCTGAACATCGAACCCGCCGAGGTGGAGAGTTTGCTGGTGTCGTGCATTCTGGACAACGCCATCCACGGGCGCATCGACCAGGTGAATCAGGTGCTGGAGCTGGACCAGGAGACGCTCTGCACCACACGCGACTACGCCATGGAGAAGTGGTCCAACCAGATTCACTCACTCCAACTCGCGGTGATCAACAAGATGTCCTAGAAAGCACACGTCTGCAAGTCCAACTCTCACACGCGCACTCTCCAAGTGATCTCGCGGCATGGTAGCTGAGAAGAGCGAATAAAAGAGAGTCAAATGAAGCGAATGTTTTGGCCTATTTTCCGTTTGCCAATGATGAAAGTGGAATTTCGTACCTCAGCCGGTTTTCTAATGCTTCTCAGCCGCGCGGAACATTTTGGAAGATGCTGCATCGCATTGGTGAGATTGTCGGCCGCTTGAAGAAGTGCTGAGAAACTTTGAAAGGTGAGAAATTATGACTATTTTCTTACAGTTTTGACATTCCCATTCTGGAGACGATGGAAAACGCGAATTATGAGCTGATTCAAAGCTGTTTTTAGGGAAAAAAAACAAACTCAGTGCATTAGTTTTTATTAGCCAGTAAAACAGGCAGATATTCAGCAAAAACGCACATGAGTTATCCAAAAAGATAGTAAACAACAGCAGTGCCGTAGGTATGCTCACAATGTTAGTGTCTCACTACAATGAAGTCGCGGCAGAATTTGCTGAGTTTATCTCTCTCATATTTGGGAAAAGAGGAAAAGGAATGATAATGAGAGATTCAAGAGAGATAGAAGAGATTCTTTTGCTATAGATTGTGAGCAGGAGTTGCAGGAAGAAGAAATGTTAATTTAGTGAAAGTTGCTGCAAGAAAAACTGCCAATTTTAGGCAACTAGTGGGATGTTTTTTGCTCTTTCAAGACATTAAAGTTATTAAAGCCTGTTCTAGTGGGCAAATTTGTGCTCATCATTATTAATTAAGTATATTTTCACTTCTCGGAATACTAGAGAAGGGATTACAATATATTCTTAACACTGTAATAATTCTAATGATGTGAAACGCATGACTGTCCGGTTCGCTAAAGATGCCTCGACACTACTGATGCATAGCGAGTATCGGAAATACAGCGTTATTTCAAATAATACACTACGATCATTCATTAATTGGTTAATTAATTATGTACATATCTGTGATAGTTGGCGTGATCAAGTATGATCAGAAACAGAATACGGATAGATTGTAAATTAAGCATAAGCATGTAAACATTTGATAAATCCATAAAGAGAATTTCTGTAATTTCACCGGCAAATCCGCCTCAACTACGCCACTGAATGTATACTTTGGGAGTAATTTGCCAAAAAGACAGTTAAGCATAATTTCTCTTGCCGAATATGATTGACTCCTGACTCTGATGGTCAAAATTAATAAATAAAAGTACTTTCGAGAGGGAAAAATGAGGCCTTATCGGCAAACAGTAACACTTTTCCCGTTTAATACGAGAAGAGATTGAACTGCCACTTTTTGTCCGTTCCTCTCTCAATTGTACTCAAGATTGTGGCCACATATCGCATGATGGCGAGGCGGAGAGTCGGCCAGAGGGAGGCCACGGTCAGTGCCGGGAGGGGAGAGGCATTAGAGATCGTGTAACGCTGGCCAGAAAGCACAGAGAATCATACTTCAGTCGATCGCATGTTCTCCCAACAAATGCACAGTCGCTCTTTTGTGTAATTACAATCTCCACGGCCCTCGTGGAGTTTTTGTGTGTGCCAAGTGACGCTCTATTTTTCCTGGCTAATTTTCCTCTCTGGAATTCCGCGTGAGTGTGTTTCTCGCAGAGCGGATTTCCTTGATCTCGCGAAGGGATTGTTGGGTAAGGCAAACAGCTGCTCTTGAACCATGCGGTCGCGCCAAAACTTCCGCACATCCGAAGCTCTATGAATATTCACGAGATGCTCGCGCTCACCTGTTTTACGCTACGATCAGTCAATTCAAATGCCCACGAGAGGCTCGTTTTTTTGCATATAGTGAGATTTATCGGTGATTAATGAGTCGTCTCGATCGATGGATCGTTCTATTGACCTTCGTGAGAGATTTGGAGGTTGCGTAATAGGGAGAAAAGTCGAATTACCGATATAATTCAAGTCATTCCTGATAACTTTCAGGAAAATCTTCTCTATCGCATAATGACCTTTATTGATTTTAAATACCACCCAAAGAGTGTTGAGGAATAAAAGAGCTTTGGTGTGCTTATCACAAAATCGTCGAGAATGATCGATGGCTCTGTGATAAAAGAGAGTCCATAAAGTGTGCATTTATCTCGTCCACGTTGATGCTTTTCCCTTGCTGGGCAAAGAGCTTGCTGAGGAATTTGTACTTCAACAGAGAATCGTGGCTAGTTTTCTGTCCTTCTTCACTATCTTCCGGATACCTTCAACTTTGTGTTTATGGCCAGCGAAACACACTTGAAAAAACGGTTGAATTTTGGCCCACTCCGAAGTGACGCGATATCGGAAAACAAATCGAAAAGTGTTTCTGTGCCGAAAGCCCCTCGAGTCATTCTCAATCTCCCCATATCGATACGTGGAAGCCTCTCGATAAGGCCTGAATAGAGCTGTGGAAGTGATAAGGTGGCAATTCGCCGGGCCCCAATAGACTTGTTTATTGTGAAGCTCGAGCCTCGGGTTTTAGTGCTGCGAGTGCATTCAGAGTGTGAACAGTGTGATCACAGTTTTCTCTCCCTTCTGTTCTGTACTCATTCCCATTTCTCCACCACCGTCACAGTCACTCCGGAACGGCAAAGAACAGGTGTTTACACTTTTACTTTCACGCTCTGCAATAGCTGAAATAGTGGATCACAGCAGTTATTGAGAGAATTGAGTGTGTCTTTCTCGAGATGCACTCAAGTTGGCCTCTTATGTAAGGCGAAGGAGACTTTTTCTCCCATGGCCTTATCAACATCAACTTGACCTTCTCTCCCGCTTCTTTGGCGATCTCTGACCGGAGGAAATTTCATCGGAATTGCTTTTTTCTCGCTCAAGCTGATTAGAAAACAGAGTCTGTCATGATTGTATTTTTCTAGATGCACACGAGTGAATTCTGTATATAAACTTGTGTATCAGAAAAATTACAGTCAAATATTCATAGTTAAGATGTGTTGGTGACTTAAGATTCATTGAATGTAATTTTTCGTTGAAAAAATTGACTCGCAATTGATATACAATGGTCTGTTTTTAGATCTCGTGGTATTTAGAGGAGAAATTTATGTGTTCTTAAGGTTTTTGCAAGCCCAATGAATCATTACAAACACCAACTGTGGGTTATTTCAGGTTTTTATTAAGTCTTCACCACGCGTGAGCTGACTTACTTTGACTTATATTCAAATAAAAACCAGAATGTTTCTTTAGGTAAATAGTATGGTTGTAATTATTATTCTGATCAATCAATTCGATAGAGAGTAAAGTTTAGGAGCATCCGGGAAACATTATGTTGCAAAAAACTCGTTATTTCCTTAAAAAATATGACTTTTTGCCAACTTTACTACGAAAAATTAGCATTTGCACGTGAAGTCATTGGGATTTCAGCACTTTCTTCCTCAGTGACGAATTGAATTTTTGCTCCTTCTGATCAAAAGTAGACGAAGAAATTAAATTATTTCCCTAAAGTTGTCTAATATTTACTATAAATCCGCCAAAACATTGGCAAAGCTTTATGTCTGATCACATTTTCGTCTGTATGAAAAGATTAGTGCAAGAGATGATTTGACTGTGAGCACACTTTATAGCCCATAAAATACCTCTCTAGTATGACGTTTTTTTTTGCATAGTTTACGCGACTTTTGTAATCCGCTGGCGTTGTATATGGTTTTATTGGCATTTTTAATCGCAATCCCTCCTCTCTCGTCCATGTAAAACAGATCGTAAAACTCAACCATTGAGAGGAGCTTTCGCGATGTGAAAAATTTCGTGATAAAAGCACCACTTTTGAGGTGGATTTTTTTTATCACTGAAGAGCTTGTTATTTCTATTTTCGTGTGAAGTACTAAAAGAAAGAAAAAATGGACAGAAGTATAGTGTTTTGAACTTTGGAACTATAATCTCAATGCGATCAATTAACAGGGCTTGATGATCAATCAAAAAATTCACAGTGTTTTCTTTATCGCCTCTCGGAAAATGTATAAATCTATCGGGATTATTAGTTTAATGAAATTCATCATTTTCCGCAGGCAGTGATTTGTCAAAGAGAGTTGAAGATTTTTGTGCACGTGTGCAAAAAAGTACATTTTTCCAGTGAGTTGTCATGGGTGGGAAAAAAAGCCGGCGCGTGAGTGTGGAAAAGGAGGAGAGAAAAGCCATGCCAATAAATCTCATTGCATGGGAACTTTCGTCATTCACACCACATCTCTTTTATGATATTGAAAAGTTAATTCCTGAATTCGCATTTGGATCAATTTCCTGTAAGTCTCTCGGTTTGTGGCGTATCGCATGCGTACGGCATTATCAATGGGGCCACCCCGTCCCATATCGCCATATAATACCTGTATTTGTTGGCTTCGCTATCAGCTAGTGATTAGGTGATTCCGAAGAGCTATAAAGATTACATATTATGGAAATTATCGATGAATAAAATCACTTTAATCACAGTCAATAAGGTGATGTTGCCTTTTCTCCCCTTCCTTCAATATTGTTCACGACAAGTCGATAAGAATTTATTTTATTATTCGCTTGTCGCTGAGACAAGAATATTACGAGCGATAAGGAGAATGTGTCTCACGGAATTTTCTCTTGAGCTGCGCATATTGCAGTGGGAAGACAAACTCTATACCTTCGGTCAGAAGATTAAATAAATTTAGAGATAAAATATGTTTTCCCCTTGCGCTATAAGAAGCTTTCACGGTGTTGAGAAAATATGACTCTCGATTTTCCCTCACAGCCATTACAATTTAATAAAATGATATGACTTCTTTTAAATTGGTAGGCTTATCAAGTGATTTGCAAATACTCTGACAGACGTTCTGTATAATTGAAAGCATAATATCGCGTGCAATGATAATTCCTCTGACTCAGTAAACATTTGCAGTTGAGGTGGATAAGAAACTCACACCAGGAGAAATTAATAATTGATCTTATCATTTACAAATGATATTTGTAATTGCGTTTCTCCACTCCTTGGCTAATATTTCACGAGAAAAAAAGATGGAAACATCTTATCAATCATCCGCGATAGTCTTTTGCGCAGACAAATTACAACTGTGGGAAATGCGACATACAAACATCTCATGTAGACTTGCTTGTCACGATCTTCAAATTGTCAATTCAACCTTGTAATGAGAATTTTTCCACTGTTTTCCAGCCATTCTCTCTCGTCATTTTCCTTGCGATCGTATTTTTGTGTGAATTTTGTGAAGAATGCCAGCCGAAAAAGTGGGTCCGAACAGGGTGATGCCCTCCGAATCGCACGCCATCATCGAGAAGGACGCGTACGTGAAGCTGAGAATAGGCAACGACGGAATTTCGGCGCACGAACCCATCTCTGTGCCCACACTCCTCAACAGGGCGGCGCGCGACTACCCAAATCACCCGGCGCTCGTCCACAAGAACGCCAACAACGTGTCGCAGAAGGTCACGTTCTCGTAAGTTTTGGACTCTTGAACTCTGCGCTTCGCCAAAATGTGATTAGCGCGCTCTGATCTTTAAACCCTTGAAAACCTTCATGCAAATGAACTTGTGTAACCTCTCCACAGATAGATAGATTTCAGACAAATTATATTGAGATTATTTGGAGGACTGTTCATCGATGCAAATTATGCTGAGATTAGGTTCTGTTTATGAAATTTCATTCATTTATTAGTTGATGTTTGTGTTATTTGATGCCGCGAAATAATATACAATTTTTTTATTTGGATCTAGCATAAGTAAAATTTGATTGCATTTGCGATGAAAAACTGACATTAAAATATTGAATGCAGATCAAAAGATAAACTCTTTCGCTCTGTTTGAGTAAGAAAGTTTATTTACTATGTTATTTTTCACTTTTTGCAACAAATTCACTACTTTTCATGATATCTTTGCGTATCATTCAAAGGAAATTGCTTGAGAGCGCGTGAAATCGATTGGCAAAAGTTTTCAATATTTCATGAAATTCTACTCCTTGTCAAAGTGTTTATTGATTTTCTGCATACATTTTTCACCAAAAATATTTTTCTCCTCCTTTTTGCAGTGAATACAAAGCAAATGTTTACAAAGTGGCGAAAGCGTTCATTAAACTTGGCCTGCAGCCTCGTCACTCCGTTGGGATTCTGGCCTTCAATAGTCCTGAGTGGTTCTACTCCGAATTGGCTGCTATTCATGCTGGGTGAGTTTTTTAGGGCGAGGAAAAAAAGTGCCACAGAAGGGCAATCAATGATTTAAGTGAGCAGCAATTGCTGACCAAATCCATTTGGAATTCGATATGGCTCACTCACACGCAGACATCCACAATTGCAGGGGCATCGTGACGGGCATCTACACGACAAATTCGGCGGATGCTGTTTATCATGTGCTCAGCACTTCGGAGGCAAACATTGCGATCGTGGATGATAGCAAGCAAATGGAGAAAGTTCGATCCATTAGGCACAAATTGCCGCATTTGAAGGCTGTCATCCAAACTTTGCCCCCTTATGAGCCCTTCGTGAAGCGAGAGGACGGATATTATCGTGTAAGTCACCACTTTATTCCATGTATCAATTTTCATTTTCATTGCCGGAAAAGAATCGACACGACAATGATTTATACAGGCGCTATAACATGGACCCTTTCCAAATCTCTCTCTCTCTCTCTCTAGCCCTCAGTTTAGTTCCAATAATGAATTGCTCTACTCAAAGTTCAGCACGATATCTCCGGCTTTGGCCCTCAACACAAAGTCAATTTAATAATGACACCGCGTTGAGAAGAAGTGGGATTATTCTGTGGGGGCAAAAGTGCCGTCTCACCCAAAGTCCAAAACTATTCAAATCACTGTCTGGGGGAAGGATTCGAATGGTTTGTTTTTTTCCTCCTCACTGGAGTTCAAGTTGAAATATTATTCATAGTTTTTCCCTCGAAAGTGACAATGCTGGATTTTCCCCCGTTTGTCAGCTTCTCAAATTGCTCGAACGTGGCAATCGAATTGGGGGAGAATTTCCACTGCCAAACTATCTCTTGTACATGTCCATAAAATTCCATCACTTGCGGGGATTATAAATGGATGTCGCAAAGTTTTGCAATGAGGAGAATTGCCGAACAGTGTTTGATCGAGAAAGTAGGACTTTTGGTCAAATTATACAGATTCGTATTGAAAATGGGAAAGCAATCTATTTGACCTAATAATCGTTCACAAGCTTTAACAGAAGAAGAGACCAATTTGTGATGTTTCATTCTATTTCATACCCAGTTTTGAAGTTGATTTCTTTTTCTTACATTCTCAAGTAATTCCTGAGCCTCTTGAAAACAAAAATTAATTTCAAGCGTGCACAGAAAGGAGCTAGGAAAAGTATTCAATTAATTTCAACCAATGAAAAAGTATTCAATTAAAACCCAAGATGTAAACGCAGAATACGAATTTTCAACTTCTCTCTTTGAAAGTTCATCAACATTATAATGAGAGTTGATGTGAATTTTTCAAGTGCATATCTGTATTCAGTGCCTGCACTAGAATGCCATCAGGGAATTAGAATACTTGTGAGTGAAGTGCGATGCGATATCAGGTGGAAATTTTAATTAATTGGTGTGATTTCACGAGAACACTTGAGGAGCAAAAATAACATAGCAAATGCTATATAGGATGAAAATATGATGTGCGGTTTCCACCTCAGTGGCAATGTCGAGCGAAGGAGGGTGGGAAAATTGAAAATTGCAGATAAATCATGGGGAATTTTCCAATTTGTCCCTGAGCGATGGCAAAAATTCAATATCCCGCCTTGTCTGACGTCTTGTTTCCTCGTTGCAGTGGTCAGAGCTGTGGGAAATGGACGTGGAGATGTACACGGAGGAGCTCAATAATCGGCTGGCTCGGATGGCCATCAATGAGTGCTGTTGCCTTGTGTTTACGGTATGTGTCACTCCTCCGCACCTTGTCCGGCACCGCAAATGCTTATAAATTGCTAATCCTCTCTCTCGCTCTCTGCAGTCTGGCACCGTGGGCAATCCCAAGGGAGTCATGCTGAGTCATGACAATATTACATGGGACGCCTTCACCATCGGCAAGCGTCTGCCGGGGATCCAGTCTGGCAAGGAGGTGCTCATCTCCTACTTGCCGCTGAGTCACGTGGCTGCCCAGATCGTTGACGTCTTCCTCACGCTCCAGCTGGCCGTGACGGTGTACTTTGCGGACAAGGACGCCCTCAAGGGGACTCTCGTGAAGACTCTCCAAGAGGCACGACCGACGCGCTTCATCGGCGTGCCGAGAGTGTACGAGAAGATCCAGGAGAAGATGCTCCAAGTGGCGGCCCAGAACTCGGGCATCAAGAAGATGATCGCCGCGTGGGCCAAGTCGGTCACACTTGAGCATCACATGAACATCATCGAGGGCAATCCGCAGGCGAGTTGGCAGTACAAAATAGCGAAGAACATCATTATGAAGAAGGTGAAGGAGGCTCTGGGTCTCGATCGGTGCCACACCATCGCCAATGCGGCCGCTCCCATGTCGCCGGAACTCAAGAAGTACTTCATGAGTCTCGATCTGCCCATCATGGACGCCTTCGGGATGTCCGAGACCACCGGTGGGCACACACTCACCAATCCTGATGCCTACAACTTCAACACTGTGGGCAGAACACTGGCCGGCACCGAGACGAAGATCCACGAGCCAGACGACAAGGGCCACGGAGAGATTTGCATGCGCGGCAGGAATGTGTTCATGGGATATCTCAATGAGCAGGACAAGACAAATGAGACGCTGGACGAAGAGGGGTGGCTGCACTCTGGCGATATTGGCTTCGTGGACGAACGCGGATATTTGTACATCACGGGAAGACTCAAGGAGTTGATCATCACGGCTGGAGGTGAAAATGTGCCGCCCGTGCATGTTGAGCATCTGGTGAAAAATCAAGTTCCGTGCATAAGCAATGCCTTCCTGGTGGGTGACCATCGCAAATTCCTCACGATGCTCGTTGCTCTTAAGACTGAAATGGACTTGGACAGTGGTGCACCGAAAGATGAGTTGCATCCGGAAACGCTGACCTTTGTCAAATCTCTCGGACTGGATTATACCAAATTGTCGCAGATTCATTCAGCCGGACCATGTCCTAAAGTGAGTTAATCTGGCAGTGAAGCTATATTAAAGCACAAGTGTTGACAATGATTTACATCGTGATTTTCAGGTACTCAAAGCCATTGAAGATGGCATTATTAGGGCCAATAAATTAGCCACGTCCAATGCTCAGAGGATCCAGAAATTCAAACTCCTCCCGCATGATTTCTCCGTTCCGACTGGTGAATTGGGTGAGTGAGAAGCGTATTTTCAGCACTTTGATATGTGTGACATTGCTAATGCCTTTTCATATGCACTTTAAGGTCCGACGCTCAAAGTGAAGCGCAGTGTCGTTGTGAAGATGTACACGGACCTGATTGAGAGCATGTACACAGACTAGAAGAGTGTGTATTTGTTGGGTTGAGTTATTTTTTTCTGAGAAAATCCATTTACCACCAACAAAGGATGAACACAGTGCCACGAAGATAACTTCTAGACTCCGATTTTCAATATATTTTGCAACTTAATTTCGTTATAAAATAATTTGTTCTTGCTACTTAAATTGGGGATATAATACTGCTGATTATGTTATAAAGGTGTGTAGTGCAATTTTTGGTTTAAAAAAAAACTACAGGGCGTAACGTAGATAGAAGACTTTCGAGGAAATTTGTACATCGACAAGCGATGTATGTTGGCAACTTAGATACAAAGAGTGCTTTCTTGCCAGTACAAAAAGAATGCATTGAAAATTGCAACAGTAAAAGACACTAATTGTTGGCCAAAATGAAAAAGAGTGATATATAAAGTAAGCAAAATGATTCATTGTTCAACTGAAGAGGAGAAGGTGGATAATAAATTTTTTATGAGTCTTTAAGATGCTACTTAAAACATTATACTATGGTTTATACATGGAATGTTCCTGCATTTGCGGCTGCATGTACTTGTCGTCCAGCTCCTCGAGTTCCTGCATGTACTTCTCCTGCAAACACATGGAGAAATAAGCCTATTATTTCACGTTATATGATTTAATAATACTTATATAGCTGGTGGAAAGTGGAGCAACAGCGGAGAGACGGCAGAATTGTTTTTCTTTGTGACCAAAGGCGGAAAAGTAATATTTCAACGCATTTTTAATGATATCCGAATTGTAAGCTTCGGACACAATTCCTTTTGCAATTTTTGGGATTGTGAATTTGTATAATTATTTTTAGATAACAAATTGAATTTGAAAAATGCGAAAAAACGAATCACTGTAATCTTTTTAAGTTAATCCTGCAGGAGATCAGCACAAAGTTCTTAATCAATCTGTCTATAAACTCCGTTCTTTTCTTAATATAGTAATTAAAGACTCAATTGTTTGGCGTTATTGGATGATTTTTTTGGAACAATTTCGCCCTGTAGTTTCGGGGCAGAGTGAATAATTTCCCTGCTGGCTCACCCAGTGTTAATGCGGCTCTGCCCGGAAGAGCACGCGGGGATTCCTTGTATTGTTCTATAAATAATTGATTCAATATATAATCGAGAAATCAACACAAATTAATTGCGGGCGAGTGTGAGGCGAAATTGCCGAGAGGGAATTTCTTTTCCACTCTCAGGGTGGAAAATCCCCACCCACGTCGGTTTGCCGCTCTGGCGGATATTTTCCACATATGAGGTGGAAAATGGGCCAAGACGCTTCCTCGAATGGATACAAGCGTCAGTGGTAATCTCCGGCACATCAATGGAAAAACACCCGAAGACGCTCGAGAGACAGAGAGACACGAGCAATTTCTCAGGCGGGTGGGATTGTCGGGAGTCGGGCCAAATGGGAATTAATGCTGTGCAATTAGGCGAGCGGGGGAGGGTGAATATTTATGGTAAACATACGTGCTGGTCCCTGCGCCACTCTTCACTGCGCTGCTCAGATTTGATCAGCAGAATCCGGCAGATCTTCGTCACGCCAAACACCAGAGCAATGCCGATGGTGAGCCACAGGAAGATCGCCTTGTAGTCGAAATCATCGACTTCGGAGGGCGATTTGGCTGTGAAGACGCCACGGTGGAAGCCTACCTGGCCATGATGGACGGATGAGTGGGAGTTTTGTGTCTGCAAGCGAGAAATTGGACATTTCCTCCGTGAATTTCATATACTTTTCACTCTGATCCCTCTCACTCTGCGTGTCATTTCACAAATATTCCTCCGCGTTTCAATAAAACCCCTCCATTTCAGGAATGGAAACATCAAGAGGGGTTTTATTGGACTTGTGAGACCGAGCAAACAGCGTGAAAATGAAGAGTGGACGGAATTGGGAGTGAACTCACGTGCCAATTGTTAAAATTTCCACTCTCGTCCTCGGGCGATTTGTCCACCGCCCTCAGCAGGATGACACTGCGATTCTGCCCATCCTCCTCGTCCACACACTCAATCCCTGCCACGCGGTGGATCTCGGACGTGACGTGGTAATCCCTGCCCAGTTCCACTTTGTCCGGCTTCGTCATCATGGCCTGAATCAGCCAACGGCAGTGCCACGGATTTCCCTCCAGCACCACGCGATCCACAGTCGCGAATTGCGCCAGATCCACACTGTGCAGAAAATTCTCGCTCACGTCGAGAAGTCTCAGCGGCACTCCTATTGAGGGCATGAAATCCAAATTGGTCAGACGATTGCGGGACAAGTCCAGGAGTCTCAAGTTCTTCAGTCCATCAAACAAGTCACTGTCGATGGCGGAAATCGCGTTACCGGACACATTCAGAACTCTCACATTGGGCATAAACTCCAGCAATTCATCCTCGAGAACCGTAAGTTCATTACTGGCGAGGATTAAGTGTGTCACAGCGGCGAATTCCCGGAAGATGTATTTGCTAAGCTCGGGAATGTGATTGTGGCTGATGTTGAACACCTGGAAAAACAATATGACGGATACACTCGATTTACTACCTTCTACGTGTCCAATGTGACTGGCATATATTCAGATTGTGATGCACGGAACAAAGCGCTTATCACAAAATGGAGAGCTTAATGTCTGGAGGGGTTTTGCAACTGCAGAATTAAGCACTTGTTGGCAAAAACAGAGAGTGTTAAAGTGTTGAAAGTTTATTGAACCTGACTAGACCATTAAGATTCCCCAAAAATCCGCTAGTGACTTTCGAAGCTTTGCGAAGCTGTCAAATTCGGAATATATGTATTTTAATATGAGGAAACGTGTGAAATTAATTTATATTTAGCTTAATCTTAGACATTCTTTTGAAAAGTCCATACCTCCAAGCTTTCCAATCCCGTGAACGAGGCTTCGGAAAACTCTGTAAAGTTGTTGTGACTGAGGTCCAGAACCTTCAGTTCTAGATTCCTCTTGAACGTGCCCTCATTGAGGAACTCCAAGTGATTGTGGCTGAGATTGAGGTGTACTAGTCGCGGCAGATTCGCCACCAGTTCCGCCTCGAACACCGCAAGTTGATTCCCCTGCAGATGGAGTGACTTGAGGTGACTGTTGCTGACGAGGGCGAAGAAGTCGATGTAGCGAATAAGATTCTGGTGGAGCGACAGATGAATGAGCTTGTGCAATCCCTTAAATGTATACTCGTCGATGTGAGTGATGAGATTCTTGCCCAAATTGATGTACTTGAGATGGGGTGTGAATTTGAAGGTGTTCTCCTTCATGGTCTCGATGAAGTTAACGGCTAAATTGAGGCGGGTGAGGTTGGGAAACCGCCGAAATGTGTTCTTGTTCAGCTCCCTCAGTTGATTCCGCCTCAGATCGATCATCTGCACGGCCTCCAGATCGTGATCACTCCATGACTTGACTGTGGAAATGTTGTTCCGCGTGAGATTGAGGACTTGCAATTGGTTGAGGCCATTGAGAGCGTAATCCTGGAGGGTTTCCAGGTGGCAATCCGTGATCTCCAGCGAGATGAGGGATGGTGTGCGCAAAAATAGGGCATTTGCAAGCTCAGGCACGTGACACTGATTGATAATGACATTGTGGGGCTCCGTGTGATACTCTCTCAAGTTCCTCAGATTCTCAACTGTGCAATTCGTAAAGCTGATGGTCTTATCGCTGACCACATGTCTCAAGTGCAGGCCTTTCGCATTGACATTGGCACACAATAAGAGGAAATTCGCACTAATTAGCATAAAACAGAGAAATCTCTCCATGATGTTCTCTTTCAACCGTGAAAAGCCTCACATTATTTCGGAAAAGCACTGCCGACACGAACCCACCTTCACAATTCACATAAAACCAGTGTAATGCGCGAAAAAAGACGAGAGTGACTGTTGAGTGAAAAGCGACCGAGATAAAGTTTTCTGTGGTGATCAGTGTGGTTTAAAATTAAATCTCAGCACGGCAGAATTAATGTGGTTGCGGCAAACAATCCCAAGCACTTGATGACAAAGTGATATTCCACATAATTTACGACTTAATTTTTACACTCAACCCGTAAAGTCGTACAGTGAGACTCCTCAGAGCGACACACACTCTTTCCTCTGTTCAAATAGACACAATGTGCGAGGCAAACAGCCACCGTCTTGATAGTGAGACATTCAATATTATGGCGCCCCCCATTCGCCTCGTTAGAGAGCATTTTCTCACACATGCGGGGCGACAGTTGTGCCTTTGTCACGACAGATGATCTACATTATTGTTCGCCAATACTCAACACCCAGTGGCTGGATGTTAATTGTCTCCCGTGCGCGAGGTGATACACAGGGACTGAGATGCAAAACAGCCCATTCATTTCACTGTTTACCGTGCTTTTCCTCACTGATACTCTGCAAGCGTTCTTGGCGGCTCAGTGAAAAGGGTTGGGGTTTCCGCGCTGCACCGAGAAATGTGGCTGTGTTATTACACCTTTAACACCTTTAATGCGACAATATGCGATTCGTTTGGAGAATTCGCATTGGAAAGTCAGTATACAATATATACCTTTTGCAACAAACTCGCAGCTGAACTTCTCCATCAAGTGAGCTTTTTGCCACAGATAACACTGCAAAGTCCTTCCGGCTGTTTATTGCCTCAAGCTGTGCCATGTTGGTTTTATCTATTGCCAGTCAATCTATTACAGATTCAACAGCTTGTCATATGCTTATTATCTTTACTTGCATGACTTAATCCTATTGTGTCAATCGAGTTGAGTATTTGTTTTTCCATACTCAAACAAGACGGAGATTTAGCAAGCTCGGGGCTTCGCTGGGTGCTTGAGAATCTTCCTGGCTGACAGAGATAAATTGGTCATCCTCTTTGGGAGTCAAGGGGATGTCATGGTGCAGCGGGGCACCCTTGATGGCGGAGGGCAAAGGGGAGAGACCATAAATATTGGTACGAACCCAATAGTGCTAAAACCAGATGGGATAAGAAATATCGTTGCAAATAGCCAACCAACTGTGGACCCGGTGTGACTCGGAGACCATTTTTGCAGGAGGATATCACAGTGGTCAAAAGCCGCAGTTTATCAAATTGGTGCTCAGTAAATTGACCCAAATTGCCTTTCACTTATTTGAGAGCACATTTCGGCACTGTTAACTCATATCGGGCAAACTCTATCGTGCCAAAGGGACGATGAAATTTCCATGTATAACCCAATACGTCTGCTAATGGATGAGAAAGCTTTCCGGGGTGGTTGGAAAAGAGGTGAAAAATGTCCACCTGGGTGTGCCTCTCATGGCAATTAAGTGGTCGCAAGTGGAGTAAATTGAATATTTTGCTTTGGGTCACACAAGTACCAGCAACTAAGCAAATATACACACGACTAATTGCAATGCCCCTGAGTTCTGAGTGCAGTGAGCGAAAAGACTCTGCATCATGGCTCGGATTCACCTGTAATTGAATTATTACACCAAATAATCTCGAGACCGACAATCAACACACGACACAGAAGCTCCTCTTGTCCCCCCAAAGTCAGTGCACACTCCGACATTCGAGTAATTTTGATTGATTCCCCTGTGAATTTGCACATTCAACTATCAAGGGAATAAATATTGACGCCAATTTGTTCATCGCCCATCGCAAGCTGCACCAATTTCATATCACATCGCCGTGATTAATGCTCCAGACACTTATCAATCCTTTAGTGTCCTCCTCCTTTTGCCCGTTTTTGCGTCCCCACTTTGAGCAAGATTGATAGGACGAGTGTCGGCTGCGTGGGTGAGTCTCGCAATCGAGTGAAATTTAATCTGTGACCCAATGGAGTTCCACCATTGAATGTCTTTCAATCACATTGAAAAATTGTCCCCCGCACAGACCATCGACTTGGCGAGGAGAATTATTACCAAAGATCATCTCACAAGTGCGATTCACGCAATCGTCTTGGCATCGCACCAGAAAATGTTGATACAATTTGCTCTCCTCGGATGACTAATTAGGAAAACATAACACGCGTTTTTTCTTCATGAGATGGGATAAAAACATACAAAGAGGGGGTGAGCAATTGGAAATGTTAAAGCTTTTTCTTCCATATTCAGCGTTTTTGGAAAAAAAAATTTGAGGGAATCCATCACTGGATGTACCGAATAATGGGCGAATTTCTCAGAGAATAAATTAAAATTACTACCTAAATTTGTGTCTACACAATTGTTTGCCTCTGAAAAATCTACTCGCATCTCATCTCAACTCTTCTCAAGCATAATGAGCATAAATTTATGCAACAGCATGAATGATGTCACTTAATCGAACTGGAATTGGATACAATAATAAATTATCACTGAGCAAACGCGCGAAAGTCGCTATGAGCTTCAAGGAGTGTGTCATCGAGGAAGTTGTTTGGGGTATGTTTCTGCATAAATTAATTCTGCATTAACAGAGGAGGGATGATGACGACTGGCATGCTGTGGGGCTCATTTGCTATGGGTTCACTTAAAAACGGTGTGTGAATCTCTGGTACGCACAAAGTCCGGCGAGAGGGTGAGATCGAGGATCTGATTAACGACATTTTTATTGATTGACCATAAAAAAAAGTTTCCTGTTTTTCATGTCCTTCGGTGTATGTGTGTCTTACGCAGAGATTTCTCCGGGTGGACCTAATCCCATCCTTGACCTATGACTTCCCTTCTCTCGTCTTCGGCCATTTTCGCTCTCCACGTGCAGAAAATAGTAGAAATTTCATTTAATCCTCGCACTTCATTTAATTCCCAAGTGCCTTCAATACGGAGTGGAATTTTATAGGAAATACTCGCTTGTTTTTTTCCGCTCCTCATATTTATTGCGAGAAGTGATGAAAAGTTACACGTACTTGAAGCTACTTTTTCAAAATTTGAAGCCATAAACATCTTTCAAAACTCTTTCAGTGCGGATCAAAGCACTTCTATCTTGAGGGAAAAGCCCCAAAGAAAGTCTGAGGAATATTCATGAAATGGTTTGTGGATAATGTTCGCTCAAAGGGTGGATATTTGAATTATGAATGTGATGAAATTTCATATCATAATCATAATCTTCAATGTGCAGGAACAAGTGGAGCGTATTTTAAAATTATGACTGGAGGACATTTTTTGTTTTTTAAATATTATTATTATTGTAGATTATTCAATTCCCCATTTAATCGCGAAAATCAATGCATTTTAATGAACTGGCGCGTGATTTAATAGCAGGTTTCGCAGTGTTTTGGAAGAATGTAGCTGTGTAATTTTCCTACAGCAACACCCCAAATTAGTGACGTGTAGAAAAAGCCATGACCAGTTGGCAATACAGAGGACAAGAGCAATTGATTATCTGTTTGCCTCATGGCAAATGTTCATTAAATCGCCCGATGGAGCATTTCACTCGAGATCATAGAGATGTAATTCAAGAGTTGATCGAAATTGTCATTCGTCTTGAGCCAGAGTGAGTGACAGTGGGACTTTTTAGCTGGGCTCTCGGTACATGAGGTACACGGGCGGAGTACATAAGGGGAGTTGATGGAAATATCTCCTTATGTACGAGGACCTCAATTCACACACACACACACACGCGCGCGCCCAGTAAATTGTTCAGGGGAATAATCTGTGGCTGATTCTTTGTACTCATGACCATAGAGAGTAAAAGCTCCGAAGCTCTCCCTGGAATATTGCCGCGAAAGCACACGCTCTCTCGCTCTCCGGCGGAAAGGCTCGCCGTGGAAAATTGCAACACGTCCTTTTCAGGGTTTTCCCTCTTCCAGCGGAGCGAAAAGAGAGTGTGGGTGTGGGAAATTCAGGGGTTATCGCAGCTCTTTTCACCCTATGTGCGGAGCCCCACGAAGATTCTTCATGTGTATGCGAGAGCTGAGCTTTTTCACGAGAGAGAGTGGAAAATTTGCAATGTCGCGTGGATGAAAATTCCCTGATTTGGCACACGAAGAGGGAATTCCAGGACAGGGATGTCACGATGAGTGCGCACGCATGGAATTGTCTCGAGCTGGCCGCTGCATGAATATGGGAAGCTGGTCCCTGAGTATCTCCCACGTCGAATCGTGCCCTGCTCGGCCCCACGAACGGGGTGAGGCGCTGCTCATTGGGGAAGTTCGCTGTGAAACCCAGTGAGAGTGGATTCGCAAGATTTTCCAGCCACCAAGTAGTTGGTGTTCCGGTTTCGGGTTGTTCTGTTGTCTTCGACATAAGGCGGGAGGACACAAAATGTCTGTGTAACTTTTTTAGTGTGCTTTTTTCTCCAAACACCACACAAGTCAGGACTCTTTTTAGTTGTCAGAAAAAAATACAACAAGACACCAGTAAAAATCCCAGGCTCCCCGCATCGAAGGCGCACCATCAGTGGATATCGCGCGAAAGACAGTATATAGCTCCAACAGATATAATCAATGAGTTTAAGTTTTTTCCACCTTTTCTCAGCAGCGTGCAGAAGAGAAAAACGATACCATACCTTGTGAATCAGTTTTTGACACACATCCTCTGGCGAGGAGTTCAGTTTTTCGGGGGACTCTCAGTGACTATCTGTGAATAACATTGGATTATCGGTACGGTTGCCCAGCGAGCCTCGAAGCTCGCTCTCATCAGGGACTTTTCACGGACAAACTCCACGTTCACCACCTACAGTATATAGCATCATTTTTCAACCACCCACCCCAGTCCACCCCCCGATCCTCGACGCCACTTTCAGGGCGAACTCGCGCGATCTTGTAGTTGTAAATCTTGCAAATGATGTGTTCCAAAACCGAGATGTGCTGAGCATTTCTTGAAAATGTGCGTGTATCACAGTTGAGCCGTGGAGGAGGCATGAATCAACACTTGTGCGGGCGAGTAGGCAAATGAGCGACTCACGGGCGAGATAGGGACGCTCAGGGGGTGACAGTGCGAGGGGTGGAATAGTAGGGAAACGGCACAAGTAATAAGGAGATGATGATAAGACATGGAGCGACGAGAAGGAGAGGCGGAAAATTGAATTAGGCGTATGATAAATTTGGGAAAAAGCACTAACAGACATGCAGAATGGATACAGTTGTGTGGCAAACGAAGTGTGCTGTCTCATTCACCGCAAAGCCCAGCAGTGGACCAATTGGCAGCACCAGAGACACTCCAGAAGAATGGACCTCTCACATGTGTAATACAAACCACTTGCAAA